GTCTGCTGTCAGTTTTTATTTTCTGAATTACATAGATTTTGATTACACAAGGGCAAGTCTTATTTCCAAGTTGGTTTCCCTCAACATCTCTCTTAGAGTTGATGCATCTCAGAGAATATAAACTTATTTTCACATTAGGCTGAGCCAGTTGTGAGTGAGAACACTCTCTGAATAGAACCCAGGCTCTGAGTTGAACTCAGATATGTATATTCTAGCTTCTCTGGGAACAGAGCACAAGTGAAATCTTGGGATTAGAGTTCTGCTCAGATTTTAGGGGTCCTCAAGCCCTGCTGGGAACATGATTCAGGTGTGGAAATTGTGGGGACCAAAAGAGGACTACAGAACTCCCTAGTGTGTATTCCTTAAGACAGACTAGAGGGCATACCCTGTTCCTGGATCAATTTCAGAACTAGAGATCCCTATATTCTTGAAAGTGGCAGTGATAATTCAGGATTCTGGCTTCCTCCTTACATACTCAAGTGGAAAAATGGTATCTCCTAAGCCAGCCTCATACCACCAATTGACTACCTTTTGTTTTCCCCACTGAAGACTCCTGGATGAGTTGGGGGGTTTTTTTGTTTGTTTGTTTTTTTCTTTTCTGTTTATTCGCTAAAAGATGTCTGCAGTCACTTCTTATTTCCGTAAAAAGCAGAGGGTGGATTCATTCACAACACAGATTCAAGTTGCCACCCCCTGTACATTGCAGTCCTTAATCTAGCCATGACTTCTGCTATCTGCCCTGGAACCACCACTCTGTCCGACTCCTTGCCTAATTTTCGTTTCCATTCCTACACTAACATGTTATTTCCTGGGCCATTCCTCACAGAGTTGGTGGGTCTGTGTTCTGTTTTTCTCGCATTGTAAGAATGGCCAGATTCACAGGGAAATGAGAGAACTACAGAGCCCCTGTTGATAGGTACATGCTGGGTATCTCCAGAAATGCTCAGTAGCTGCTCATCCCAGCACCCTGCCAAAGGGCCTATGCCCTTCGTGTTTGCACCTCCACAAAATGATACATCCTGCCCTGTGACAGCCTCGACCAGTTGAAGCCATTGTTGCTCAGTCCATAGAAGTGGGGCATCCTGTACAATCAGTCACTCCCACCACAAGCACAATCTGTCCATTAGGTATAAACCCACATAGTAAAGGAGTTATAATGCAATTACATACAATACACTTAATATCAAAACTATAGGAGCAATAATGGAATTTATTTTGTAATGTGGGGAGGTATTTCAGAACAGGGCATTGACTTTGTCTGGATGTACTCTCTGTAACTTCTCTCAGGAGAGGGTGTGGAGGGGATGCAGAAGAGGCTGGAGAAGCTCTGGCTGCCTTGGGGTGGGGGACACTGTCTTCCTCTGTGATCTTAGAACAGGTGTGCTTCATGCCACAGCAGAGAATGCCACATGGGTCATGTATGGGCAAAGGCCGAACATGAACTTCCCATTTTCTAAGCTAATTGCCAAGGGCCTTTGTAACATTCTTAATACATTAAGAACCTTTAAACAGCTGGCAGGTATCAAAATAATGGTAGTAGTGGGAAAGTTCATTCTTTTGATGAGCAAGTTACTTCACATCATGCCTAGCACTGGTGCTTGGTCTCAGTCCCCAGGAAGGCAAGGACATGCTTTTCCTTCATCAGAGACAGTAGCGCATGGATGTTGAAATCCCAGCTCTACTGCTTTCATGCTGTGTGATCTCTGGCAAGTTAGTGCTTCAGTGTCCCCATTTGTAAAAGAGAATTCTGCTACTTGCTTCGTAGGATCCTTATTGGAATTAAATGAGTTAATATAAACAGTGCCTGACACCTATTATTGCTGTTAAGATGTATTATTATTATTAATTATTACTAATATCACTAACAGCAGCTATGTGCATCTCCCTACTGGTGTGGTTGCTGATCTCCATGTCTCCCAGGACTTCTAGAAATACTTCTGAGAGCCTTTTAACTGGTCGGGACTGCTAATCTGGGGTCACTGTGAGGCCAGGTCATCCAGCCACATAACCAGCTGTTCCTCAACTTTTACTTTATGGGCTTTCTTCTCTGAATCTGCTGCTGAGCAGCTGTCTTAATCTGCTTTCATCCAACTTCTAAATATAGTCCTGTCATCAGGTTCACTGGGTGTGGCAGTTGAGAAATCAGCCTTTATCTTATTCCAACTGGATGGTGTTCTGACATTTTATCATTTCTGAAGGCAGAATGTAAAAGACAGTGTTGGGACACATTGCTTCCATGGCCTGCTGCAAGGGTAAATCGGGGTTCCTTCCTAGAGCTGGCAGTGAGGGCAGGGTGATTGATCCCCTGCCTTGCCTCACACCAGCATTGACCAGCTGATAGGCCAATTAACAATGGAGGGTTCCCGCTAGTGTCTAAGAGCTGACCTGGCATGGCTCTGGTATAATTGAATGCTTTGGAAATTTGATTAAAATGTGAAAAGGATGCTTCCCGGCACAGAGCTGTAAAGGCAGTCTGGTATTATCCAAAAGACCGAACCAGTTGTTCCTGCTGCTTTAGCTATCTCTGAAGGGATAGTTGGCTAGGAGACCTGACGCACTGTGTCACGAAATTTAGCTCTGTCTGATGGAGGAGAGAGTAGTGCTTAGTTGAAGGCTTGCTTGTTTCCTTTGAAAAAAACCTTATGTGTCCCCTAATGCAGTGGTCTTTCTGCTTTGCTCTTAATACAGTTCTTATGTAAGGGAATTACTGGCCCACTGTTTTTCTGAGAAAACCAGATGGCCACACTGCCACATTCACCAGGGACTTCTGAGATTTGTGCCAGGCTTACTTAGCATTTGTCTGTCTCACAGAAAAACTAAGAAGACGTTACCTAAAATATTGGTGTGATTTTTTTGTTTGTTTGTTTGTTTGTGTTTTCTTTTTTGATTTTGTTTTTCCTGAAAAGCCAGCTTCTGATCTGAAGAACCAGAGCAGGCACCCATATGTCACTTTTTATTGATCCATTGTTCTTCAGCCCTCTGTCTGTAGTTCACCCAGTCATGATCGCAGATTTTCTTGTGCATTTCCGATTATGTACTGAAACCATGGACTCCCCAGTGGAGTCCAGTTTCAGCTTGGAGAGGCTTCATCATAGCACTGATACAAAAAGATAAACAGAAATCTGACTTGCCATGTTATCCATCCAATAAAAAACCACCCAAAGGGAGAGATAGGGATATTCATCACGTCCCAGCAACTCAGCCAAGCCTGCAAGTTTAAGGACAATATTTCTAGGTGAATTTAGAAAACCTTTCTTTGGCAAAGCAGAGAGTTCTCCTGACAGCTCTTTTTCCCAGCAGCCAGCCAGTCTGGGAGAGAACAAAGAGAGTTCTACCCAACTGATTTGGGCTGGATAGCGCTTTTCTACTTCCCCAGCGATTTGTGTAGCATTGTGGAGGTTTGAATACTTTTCCATAAGTTAAGCAGAACTTCCTCTTCATGCTGCCTGCTTTTGCCTTTATCTATAGTCAAGCGTTGGCTGCTGAGGTGGCCTCTGCCCTGTTTTAGCATGAGCAGAATAATAGCATTGGCTTGAAAAGAGATTCAGGAGATGATTATTGGATTATTCAGTTGGCTTATCACCAGAGAATTTATCTGTTACAAAGGTCACATAGATTTTTTTTTTCTTTTGGAATTTCTACCTTAGCAGCTGTCCCTGTGTGTATATTAAAACATCTGCAATAACTAAATTTCTAGAGCACTTTTGTTACTATGTCTTGCTTCTTCCCAGTATCTAATTTTTTCCAGAAAGTTCTTTTGTTTAATGAAGGTTATATGAAAGATGTAAGGGTTAGAGCCTTACCTCTAATATGAAGTTGAAAAGATTTATTTCAAGGAAAGAGTGGTTTGATTTGAATTTCAGCAAGTTGGGGAAATCTAGTTCTAAAATGTATCTCCTCTGCATTTGGAAACTTCAGCCTCCCCTGTATGAGTGGGATATGTTTTTATTTTTATTTTTAAAAACAAGGGGTGAACTTAGCCCGGTTTCTTGGTCCTAACAGATTGATCTGAGCTGGAAGTTAGCCATGGTGTATAAATTGATATGTGCCTTGGATTATTCTTTGCATAGTGGTGGCAGTTCTAATATTTAAAGGTAAACATGGTATGCTAAAGAATGAATGTTCACATCTGATTTTGAAAAAATACACATGGTGATGGGAGACATTGATTTCATCCACCAGTATTTACCAAGTAACAGCCATGGCCCAGCACTCACTTAGCTCTAGTTATAGAATGAACAGGACAGCAAGGTCCCTCACTCATGGAGTTGACAGAAGCGGGGGTGGGGGGACAGTTGAGTCTTCTTCAAACAAGACTTCTTGATGAATCAACCCAGCTGATTGCTTTCACGGAGCAGGATGACAGCCGGGCCTAGCTTGGTTCAGAAGACGTAGGAGCTGCTGCTCCCTCCAATGGTTATGTTGTCTAAGTGGGTCATATGTACCTGTGTTCTTCCTCATTTTGAAAACCACTTCTGTCACCTCTTGGGGTGATGTAAAGATAGATACAGTTATAGTCCACTTTTGGTTTCTCAAAAGTAGAATATTCTGTTAGTTTCTTCTTGATTTGCTCTTCATACCTTGTTATTCTAGCAATCATTAGGACTTCCACAAAGAAAGGACTGGAAAAAGATACGAAAGTAAACTCAGGCTGAACATTGTGGACCCAAGCATCAAGGATACAGAGTACACAAGGCTGACACTGAGAGGGCAAGCAAGTTTAGGGGATGAGGGATTTCATTTTTCCTCTGGTCCATAAAGCGAGGGCTGTGAAATATGTTCATTCCTTCAAAAAATGCTGTATAAATGCATGGTGATATCAGCAGAATACTTTCTATTTACTGAAAGTGATCAAGATTTTCTGGTGACATCTCCATATTTAGGAAATTGCCGCAGAGGATGCAGAAGGTGGCAGTTTGATTTGTCTTCAGAATGCTGATCTTTCACTTTTGGGGAGGTTTTACACAATTTTTTTTTTTTTTTTTTTTTCCCCTTTACAGAATGAAGTTGGCCTACTGGAGTTCTTCCAAAATGTGATGAAAGAAACTAGGGCAGAGCCAAAAAGAGTGACTAGTTGGGTCCTCAACACTTTCCTGGGTTTTTTAAAGCAACAGAACCTTGCTGTCAGTGAGAGGTGAGTGGGATCTAGGGATTTCTTCTTGTTTTGAGATGAACTCTTGTCCAGGAGCAGTTGAAATAGGGCAGGACCAGTGTTTTACTCTTCCTGTTCCCTTCAGTATCTCCTGACAAGACACAAACATCCCCTGAGAAATCCAAATTCTAAAGCTTTTCTTATGAAAACTCTGACTGTCCACAATGTCCTCTGTACTGTGGATGAACGAATAAGGAGTTTGCAAGTTTGAGGGGCTACAGAACCGTAAGAAGACAGACAGTGAGAGATCAAGATGGTAGCAGAGTAGGTGGATGTTACACTCACCTCCTCCCTTGACCAAACTGAATTACAACTAAAATATAGAATAGTCAGCCAGAATAACAAACTGAAGACTAGTTGAAGAGAAGTCTTATAGCCAAGGATTTACAGAAAAAGCCCCATTGAGACTGGTAGGAAGAGCAGAGGTGTGAAAAGAGCTGGCCCTGCTCCCACAGGCAATGGCTTAGATTCTGGAGGGATATCTCAGCTGCAAAAATTCCCACTGAGAAGATGGGGTCTCTACCTCAATACAGGCTCCAAAGCCAGGAAGAGACACCCACATAATATCTGGCTGTAAAAATCAGCAGGGATTTTGTTTCCCTGGGGAGAAATAGCAGTCTTCTAGAGACACAAGTGCTTTCTTAAAGGGCCAGTGCACAAAATTTCATTTTCAGTCACTCACCTTGAACTCCAGAAGAGGGAGGGCAGAGCGGACTAGAGTTATGTGAGGAGAGACTGGTGTTTGTGGCTCTGGGGAGAGAGCTGAAGGAATAGCCTCTAGGATTCCTTTGCTGAGTTATTCTCCCACACCACATATTATCTTTCTTGGGTGGAACACTGCCCTCCTTACAGCATCAGCTTAGGGGAATGAATAGCCTCACACTCAACCTGTTTCCCCACACTGTGGAGCTTATACTCTGCTGAGGAGTCAGCTACCTGGGTCTGGGTGTAGAGATCTGGGCAGGCTAAGGGGGTTTTGGTAGCTGAGTGATGTGGCTTTGATAGGGTGCCATTCCTCCCTCTTTCTCAGGAAACTAACTAGTACCTCCCCCTCATAGGAGATCCCCCAGCCCCACTCTCCAGGTTCCCAGAGCCATATCTGCTTGACTCCTGATGGGTTCACCCTGCCAAGATCTAGGCAAAATCTGGGACAGACTGAGTTGTGTGGCTCTCTTCCCCCAAGCCTGATCGGCACCTTCCCCTCATGATAGATGCACTAGCCCCATTCTTCCAACTCCCAGCAGCCCCACCCTGCTGAGATCAGGCTCTTGGCAGAATCTGGACAGACTGAGCCGTGTAGTTCTAGGACAGGGACTCTTCCCTCGACCAATGGGAAGCCCTCCCTTCACATGGCTGAATCATGGGACTGATAAACTCTGCTGGCCTTACCTTGGTGATTCCGAGACCCCACTCCACTACAAAGATGTGCAAGCACCCAGTAGGTGGCACACTTAACTTAGTATACCTAAGGACCTTTCCTGAGTGGTCTTAAACCCATTACTGGCACCGAGTTTAAACATCAATCTGATGAATACCACTTACCCCTGCTTAATGACTCACTGAGAAACTATCTCATGCAACTTTAGTACCACCAGTGGCTATTTCAGTAACTGAGCCTGATAGGCAGCCAGCAGGTGGAGGCAGATTGAGGTGGGTCTTAGGGTAAAATGGGACTTCTACTGATGGGCCCCTGGGCCTGGTGCTGGTAAAAGCCAGCCTTTGTACAGCTTGATCCTTCCCACACATACCCAGGCCCTCCAGAGACAGCCACAAATTGTGGATCACTTTGTAGTTCAGTCTGGTTGCCCATGGTCAGTCAAAGCAGCACCTAATATTAGCCTGCACCAAAGTCCCTCCCAAGAGTCCCCAGAACAATATACCCAGTGGCTAGCTTAAGACAGCATCAGAGCAGGATCCAATAAGCTTCACAAGTGGCATATCCAAGGGAGATCTCGGCAGGCACCAGACGCTGCTAAGGTAAATCCTGCTTCCTGTGGTCAGCACCTGCACAACAGCTAATACACTGTGGTACAGGTCAGTCCTCACAGCCAGCCAGCCATGGGCCATTAGCAATCAAAGACTCAGTTACAACAGCAGACTCTATTATAACAGGAAGGCCTACATAAAACATACATGTGGGACATTTCTGGAGCACCCAGTTGAAGTGATCAAAGAGATTGTGCCACAGGGTCCCACAAGACACCTACTACTTACGTTCATCCTACCAAGAGTGGGAGTCAAAGCAGATCTACCTAACATAGAAACAACCACAAAGAGTCAGCCAACGTGAGGAGAAAAGAAACATGCCCCAAATGAAAGAATAGGATAAATCTCCAGCAACATGAACTAAATGAAATAGAGGCAAGCAATTTTTCAGGTATAGAATTTTAAAAAAAGATAAGGTTGCTCAATGAACTTAGAAATACAACATGAAAAAGGGCATAGAAACCGTTATAAAAAACAAGTCAGAAATGAATACAATATCTGAAATGAAGAATACAATAGAAGGAATAAACAGGTTGAATGAAGCAGAGGTTTGAATAAGCTATTTGGAAGACACAGCACCTATCAAGTCAGTAAAAGGATAAAATAACTTTAAAAAATGAGGAGAGATTAAGGGACCTTTGGGACAACATGGAGTGTAACTACATCTGCATTATAGGGGTACCAGAAGGAGAAGAGAGAGCAAGGGATCAAGAATTTATTTAAAGAAATAATTGAAAACTTCCCTAACTTGGTGAAGGACATCTGCATCATGGGAATAACCAACAGGCAGTCAGACATATCGATCTGCTGCAGACAGATATATGGGAGGTATAAATCTGAGCATTCTCATGCATTCACTATTCAACACATGTTAACTTATACTCTGTTAAGCCTGGGAAGACTAGTCAGCATGACAGGCAAAGTCCTTTCAGAGTTGATGGGCCAGAAGCTGGTGATTACAAAGCAGTGAGTTAGATGATCTGAGAAGGGAAACTAACAGCTAAGCCAAGACCTGAGCAAGGATGAGTAGGGTTAGTCAGGCAAAGTCCAGGGGTAAAAGTGTTCAGGCATAGGGAGCAACATGTAGAAAAGTCTTGAATAAGTCTGACAATGGCACTTTTAGAAATGCAAATACATAGTCAGGTATAAGTAGAACATGGACTGAGCAGCATAGAGAAGGTACGTGAAGTTGTGGGGGCAGATGAGAACTGTCAGGGAGGTAGCCGATGAGAAGTCTGAGATTCTCCGGACTTGAACTGCGAAGCATAGGCAGCAAAGAAGGGGAAAAGCCAAGGGAGAACTGGTGTCACAGATGCCCCCAGAAAGGAAAGTTTCAAGAAGGAAAGAGTGAGCAGCAGGTTTAAATGTGGAGAGTTGGGAGAGTTGATTAGGGACACAGAGGCAGTCGGCAGGACCCTGGCAAGGTCCCAGTCCCAGTGGAGCCCGGTCTCGGTGGGTGTATCATTGTCTCAGTATCTGTTGCTGTGGAGAAGTGCAGTGGAAAGATGGGCTGATATTGGTATACAGTTCAAAGGTGTTTGCTCAAAGACATGAATTCTCTGCAATGCCAACTTGAGGTCCAGCCTCTTGCTCACATGTGTATATGCATGTATTAATGTGGGGTCAGTGCATTTTCCTTCTGAGCTACTTGTCAGTAGTGACCCTGAAGGAGCTCCCCTCCCTGCGCCTGTTTCCTCACTGTAAAAGGAAAAGACAATACCTGCCCCCAAGGGTTTTGAAAAGAAAGTGCACAGTTGCTGGCACAGGGTGGACCCTCAGTGTTAGTTCCCTTCTTTTTGCCATCTAGGTGTATTAGATGCCAAAGCAATGGCCACCCTCAGTCTCCTCCACACGTATCCCTCTGTTGCCTTTTTGTCTTAAAGCAGGGTGAGGAACCTTTTCTTCTGCCAGTGGGCCATTGGGCTATTTATAACATCATTCTCTTAATATAATCTACTTATTATAAATTTATGCTGCTATGAAAAAAGCTCCTAGATTTATTAAACTATGAGTCCTGCCTGCTGCTGCCTGGTCAGGGCCAGACCAGATGATATCACAGGGCCTTATACGTCCGTGGTCTGGACGTTCCCTACTTGTGTCTTAAAGGATGGACAGGATTTGGTGAGGAAGAGGGGCAGCATGACACCAGTGGGGAGCCAAGGTGTGGGAATGGAAAGAAACTGGCATGTTTTTGGACCAGGGAGGAGCATAGCTGGTAGGAGCAGAGGGTGGGAAATGTCAGGAGAGTACAGTTAACTGTATCATTGGAGCAGAACCAGAATATGTAGGGTGTGGGAACTCAAGGAAAACACATGCATCTCTGCAGTGTGTGGAGAGAGAAACAGACCCATTTGGGCCTTCAGGAAGCTTTCCGTCTCCTGGAAAATATTTAATATTTTAATTCAAAGCCGAATGGGTGCTTCCTGTTTTAGACCCCTGCACAATGCAGTGGGAACAGAGAGGAGGGAGATGGTGTCAGCCAGGGGACACCAGAAGAGCTGCAAGAAGATGTGGTGTGAGCTTTTGGAGAAAATACAATCTTAGCTGTGAATTTATGGTCTCAATATTGTTGGCTGTGCTCCCTGAATTTTAGTCCTAGTGGCTATCCTCTGGTCCAGCTCCTTCGTTTAGCACATGGGGAAATGGAGGCCCTAATCCGTAAGGTTACATTGCAGCCTGCTAAAACTGGAAGCCACATCCCCTTACTTTCAGGTCAGTTTCTTTTCATATTGGTCTGTGAAATTAGGGGTTTGCTTAAGGTGTTGGTAGCTTCCAAAGGAACTGAGGTTGATTAATGAGCTTGTTTAGTGAAGTTGGAGCTCCTGGTATTTATCCAAACAATTCATAAGCTCTGAGGTCTTAACTGAAAGGGTACCCAGTTAGAAATAAAGGTATACAGTTGACCCTTGAACAACCCAGGTTTGAACCGTGCAGGTCCAGTTATACACAGATTTCTTTCAATAAATACTGTAAATGTATTTTCCTTATGATTTTCTTAATATCCTATTTAGCTTTATTATAAGAATATAGCATAGAAAATATGTGCTAACTGTTCATGTTATTGATAAGGCTTCTATGCAACAGTAGGCTATTAAGTCTTGGGGAAGTTGGATTATTAGTTAAGTGGATTTTGGATGCACTTGCAATCCAGGCATTGTTCCAGGGTCCACTATGTTTGGTTGTTCTAAAAACAGGTAAAGAGGAAACTAAACAACAGTTCTGTTTTATTTTATATGAAAACAAAAATTGAGGAGCCCAGACCCAGCTGGAACAGCTCTCTTCCTATACCTTTCACAGACTTGCTAGCTGGTCTGGTTTGCCAGTGTGCCCTTGGGACACACACTAATGAACAACCCTATCCACTAGGGTGAATGTTCTCAAAGCTTAGAATAGCAGTACTACAGAGCTCACATTACGTAGTCTCATGATGACACATGCAAGGAACACCCTAGAGATAGTTGGCAGGGACAGATTTTGTAAATTAGCATCCATCTTTGAAGACCTCTCAGTGTTCTTAAAAGATATCTAAGGCCCCTGGTATTTAAAGGGTCCAACCAGAAAAGCTCTTTTTAAACATGGTTTTTTAATTACTTCAGATATAAAGTTTTGTTGTTGTTAATATCTCATTCCAAATTACTGTTAATAACAGGTTGGATTTCGTTAAGAAAGTGGAAATGACATATTCCCTGAGCAAGCATTTCTTGATAAAGCCCAGATGGCTAGACCAGTAGAGTACCTGAACTCCCAGGGCAGCTGTGGCAGACTTCCTTACGCTCTAAAGAACCAGGGAATGTTTCAGGCCAAGAAGGGACTGATAGTGACAGGAAGATTAGTCCAGTGGTGTGATATGTGGATGGCATTAATAATGGAGGTTGTGAGCCCAGTTTATAGCCTGTGAGCTAGGACTGGTTATTAATTTAAAATATATTTTTTTTATTGATTTCAGAGAGCTGGGGATAGAGAAAGAGATAGAAACATCAATAATGAGTTTCTGCATGCCCCCTACCTGGGGGTCTAAGACCACACACAACCTGGGTATGTGCCCTGACCAGGAATTGAACCGTGACTTCCTGGTTCATGGGTCAATGCTCCACCACTGAGCCTCACTGGTTGGGCAAAAGGCATTTTCATGATAGGGAATATCTCAACATTAAAGCCACAAGAGAGAGGGAATAAGTATCTGAGTGAGTCTGAATCTTAGGAATGGAGGGTGATGGGATTAAGATATGGGCCAACGGGGTTTATTTGATGAAATAGGAGGAGGGCACAATTGAAAATGATGAATCTTGCATCAGCTGATGTCTTTATGAAGTAGGAGGAGAGGGTATTTGCCGAGAGGGTCATGGGAAGGAGGCTGTGAGAACAGTCTGTTTGTTAAGAGTTAGAGATAGCCGAAACCGGTTTGGCTCAGTGGTAGAGCGTCGGTCTGCGGACTGAAAGGTTCCGGGTTCAATTCCGGTCAAGGGCATGTATGTTGGCTGCGGGCACATCCCCTGTAGGGGATGTGCAGGAGGAGGCTGGTCTATGTTTCTCTCTCATCGACATTTCTGGCTCTCTATCTCTCTCCCTTCCTGTCTGAAAAAGAATCAATAAAATTTTTTTTTAAATTTTTAAAAAAGAGTTAGATAAAAGGACTGTTGAGCAGCAAGAGCCTCTGGATGTCCAAGTCCCATGTCTTCCTCCAGGAGCTTTTACATCTGCAGAAGGTGAACTTTGGACCTAAAATGAGCTTTGGGATTGAGATGGTCAGCACATTTGCTAAGTACAGTTTGGCCGGATCATGGTTGAGAGGTATCAGGTATCTGTTGCCACAATCCAAGCTGGTGATGGAGTTGTGATCCTAAAAGAGCTCCAAAGTTCTGGATGAAGTTGAGAGAGGTGACATACCCAATCTCCTCTGCTCTGTAGATACCCTGGCCTTGGGGGATTTGAAGCAAGCACAGAAAGCTTAAGCCTTCAGTATCAGCTAATTCTTGCCTGCGATGCATTTACTGTCCAGAAACTGGTATTGTCTGACAGCAGCAAGTTAGTAGTTGTGCTTCTATTGCCATTCTGTTCCATATTGATGGTTTATTTATTTATATGGTGAGTGGAGTTTTTAAGGGTGAGATAGGAACTGATCTTTGTCATCCTCTTACTCGAGGTTAACCCTAATATATATAGAATTGGTATACGCAGTATACCAGATGCCCCCATTGTGGGGAAGAATTCTATGAAGCATATTATTGATCTATGTGTTAAGCATTGTGGGTGTAAAAAGGTGATTGAGAAATCCAAAGTGCTGGTAGGTCAGTAGAGGTGTTTTATAGTATAAATTTATCACCTACTTAATGAATTAAGGTCATTAGGTGAAAGGCAAAGTATTTTTAGTTATGTTCTATTTCTGTCCTCTGTCTCAGCATCTTTTATATCCTGGACTCATATGATAGTAGGGACCCCCCTCCCCCCCCCCTTTTTTTTGCATGCTCTAGAATAGCAGTTGCCAACCAGTGGTCCGCAGACCATTGGTGGTCTGTGAGGTCTGGAAGGTTGGCGACCATTGCTCTAGAATAGGGGTGTCGAACTCAATCAGAGAAGGGGCCAAAATCTAAAATCCAGCCTAAATCGCGGGCCGAATGGTTTACTGAACAGTCATAAACTGTCATTGTGATGGAAACGCAGCGGAGTGCAGTGATGACAGCGCGGTGCGGGCCACATTGCAAGGCCTGGCGGGATGGATTTGGCCCGCGGGCCTTGTGTTTGACACATGTGCTCTAGAAATCCAGTTCCATCTCAGTGCTGATTGTGGTTCTAGACAGTCTAATTGGCTGTTGTATTTTCTAGGATTGCAGAGCATCCTATCAACCAGATTCTGTATGACCTGTCAGGGTGGAGGTTGGCAAAAGCTTATTTCCCAGTTGTCTGCCCCTCTTCCTGTTTCTATTAAATCAGGGGGCTTCACAGATGTTCCAGATGCCAACTAATAACATCAGACACTCTCCAAACCTAATTTCCACTTGGGGTCACCTTTATCCATATGTACTTTGGGATAAACAAACACTTTAAGGCTGATGTCTGCCTCCGTGTGTTAGCTGTTTTCAGTGAAAAATCCTAATGAGGTCTCACTGTACTTGCCTCAGACTGCACAGTAAGGCACATCAGGTTAACTTGCATTCTCTTGGTCTGAAATGCATGGAAATAGGCAGAGGCTAAATGGCAGTTTCCTTTTTATTATCTAAGAACTTGCAAAGAAATGAATAGCAAATGGTGACAACCAAGACTCAAACAGAAGGTATTTTTCGAGTGGTGTTAAGCGCTGTTTATAAGCTGCCCCACCTATTTAAAATTAGCCCATAATGACCTCAGATAGACGGTTTAATTATCCTAGTTACTGTATGTGTTTGGAAGTAGCAAAACCATATATTTTAAAAGAAACCTATAATTCAGTTTTGTCTTTTCAGTAATCTCGGCACTCACCCCCTCACCCCAACTCCTACCCCTGAGTGTGAATTAATGACACTTTGTGTTTATTTGCTTCTTGGCCTTTTGTATCACAGCATCTTGGTAAATAAGTCATGTCCTAGAAGTATAGATAATGACTTCTAAGCCTTGTGTCCTGAAAGCTCTTGTGACTTCAGAAGAGAACAGTTTAAGAAGATGCCCTTGAGGATAGCTAAAGAAATGGTGGGTAGTCATTGCATTCCCTTAAAGAAAAGCTCTCATAATAAAAAATAATTTATATTTCCACAGAAACTCTCAAAATGTGGCTTTGTTAGCTGTTTTGTTTAAAGTAATTTTTAGGCTGGTCTTCTGTTGAAATGCTTAATTACTGGGGTGGGTTTTTGTTTTGTTTTTTTTCTTTCCTCATCACGGTTCATGAATTTTGCAGCCACCTCCTTTCTTTGACAAATTAAACTGAGCAATTGTCTGTTGCTACAACTTCTGCCAAACAGCTGTTATTGTTGGGTGGTAAAACAAAGAAAAACAACGCTAGTGACAAAAATTTGTTATATCTTAAAATACAAAGTAAATAAAATAAAGCCCAAATGGCCCTGTTTTCCTTCCTGGGTAGGAGGTTAATTATATAAACCTATAAAATCGAGTCTTGCAGTTACAAGAAACTGTAAATGGATATGCTAACATGAAATATGCATTTCTTTTCTCTCCTTTTGGGGCTGCTAGTCCTGTCACACCTTCTGCACTGGCCGAGCTTCTCAACCTACTGGACCAGAAAACAATATCTTCAGCCGCAGCTAAAAAGGTATGCCCCCACTTCCTAAAGCTTCTCCCTGCTCTGCTGTCCCAGCAGAAGTTTTCTGCCGTCACTCAGTGAATTTCCTAGTTGACGTAGTAAATGCTTATAAGTGCTATTTGCATGCTGAAAGGTAGAAATATTTTATTTAGCAAATAAAATAAAGCCAGTCTGAGCTAGGCAGGTGATTTGCTTCTCATCTTTGCTAACCAGGGGGAATACTTACTGTTTGACTTGCTTGGAATGTTTTCCAAACATTTGCTTATATAAAAGGCTGGGGCCCTGAAGTTCCTGGGGGATTCTGACTATGGAACTTGCCCTGGACTGTGAGAGGCTCCAGCAGCCTGTGATGACAACCTCCAAGACCAGGGACTCATTTTTCTTCGTCTCCTGGTTGCCCCTGAAAGCCAGTCTTTCAGCAAGGAGGATGAGGTCAGACAGACTGCCTAAGCTCAGAAAATTTCACACACATGCTCAGTGTGTGAAAACACAGAATAGCATCATCATCATAGGTGGCCTGGTGCCTCATCTCCACCTCCATCTAACAATGTCAGGTGAGTGAAAGATTCCTGGAATTCTGAAAACTCAAGTAAGTACCCAGAACAGTCAAGAACACCAAGGCAACCACCTGATCTCCACTTCAGATACCTGAAGCTGTCAATGAGGTAGCCAGAAACTAATGTTATTTTAATGCTGCCTTTTGCATTTAATAGTTATACACATCAACAGTAGTGGCAGATTATAGAGTGAGGCTTTGGAAAGTGTCTGCTTTTGGCTAATTAGGAGGCACCATGAAGCATACATCTGCCCATTCGGGTTGAACCTGGAGACAGGAACTGATAAAGGCTGTTTCCCCACTAAGTGAGGCTGACATTGCAGGGCCCTGGCCACCTTCAGGAAAGGATTGTGGTTGCTGGGATGTCAGAGGAATACAAATGTTTATGGGAATGCTCAACTAGAGCAGAAAGATGAGATGGCTGGAGGGCAGAAAATACATGTATGTGCATTAAAGAGCAGATGAATTGTAGCATTTGAAATGAAGGGCAAAATCTTCCCCTTTCCACTCATCTTGCCCCACACACAGAAGAAAAGGAAACAAAACCAACCAACCCAATGCAGTGAATATGATAGACTCAGTGGGATGATGGGGAACATGCTGGAAGGTGCTAACAGCTGGGTTCAGATATAGAGACACTTTTGGATTCTAAATAAATTTGGAGCATGTAAAAAAGGAGGTGGGGTAAATCCTGGCTTCTAGGAGGCAAAGTGAAATGCAAGTCTGATTAGAAAGGTGTGAATTGTGTGCTGCATAAGGAAATCTCCCTTATTTATCACTAGAGGCCCAGTGCACAAATTGGTGCATCTTGAAAGGAATTGTGGGCCTCAAGGTTGTGGTATGCACAATGGCAGGTCTCTGCCCATTCTCTGTGATATCCGGCCTGGTCCCTCCCCCCATGGCCCCTGGTCCTGTCTACAGGCAGCCCTGTTCCCGCTGCCTCACTCCCATGCACTGAAGATGCTGGCCCTGCTCGCACCCAGTGACAGCATGGAGTAATTGAGGCTGACACCAGCAGCGGGTATTGGCACCAGCAGTGGGTGCAAACGTTGGCTACTGCCCCCATCATCCCTCAGGAGCAGGGGGAGGTGGAGAAGCCCTGATAGGGATTAGGCCAGAAGCTGCTGCTCACACCTGCTAATGGCACTGAGTGATTGGGATTGGTGCTGGGCACCATCAGCAGGTGTGAGTGGCAGCTCCAGTGCCAGTTGCAGGTGCAAGCAGGGCTGGCACTGGCAACAGGTGTGAGCACCAGGCGGGAAGACGGTTTGTAGGAACAAAGAATTTTCAGTAATTACCAGAGGCTCATCCTAATGACAGTGATCGGTGCCCCGCCTTGGTCTGGCGCCCCTGCTCATCTGCTGCTTCATCCCGCGACGGCCAACACCCACCATGTTCAGCTTACACCCCTGGTGGTCATAGAGACCACTTGTTCAGTTGTTTTGGTTGTTTTGGTTCCGCTGTTTGGTCTATTTGCATAATAGCCTTTTATTATATAGGATTGTCTTGGTGGTTTTGCTTTATTTTACTTGTTTTCTGAATTTCTGGTGAAATAAATGATATGTTTTTTATGAAGAATTCATCCTTCTGGTATGTATGCATGGGAATGGTATTCATCCAGTATTAATGGTAGTTATTTCAAGGTGCTAGAATTTGAAAATCTCTATATTTTCCTGTATTACTTAAACTTTTTCTATAGCTTTATGATATAGTTTAAAATTGGGGAATGTGATGTATCCATTTTTTTTTTTGTTTTTTTCCTTAGGATTGCTTTGGCTATTAGAGTCTTTTGTGGTACCATACAAATTTCAGGATTTTTTGTTCCATTTCTGTGAAAAAATGCCCATTGGGATTTTGTTAAGGATTGCATTAACTCTGTAGATTCCTTTAGGTAACATTGGCATTTTAACAATGTTAATTTTTCTAGTCTGTGAACACAGAATATCTTTTCGTTTCCTTGTGTTTTCTTTAGTGTCTTTCACAATTGTATTGCAGGTTTCAGTATATAGGTCTTCCACATTCTTGGTTACACTTATTCCTAGGTATCATATTCTTTTTGTAGTGATGGTAAATGGGATGTTTTGCTCATTTCACTTTGATAGTTCGTTGTTAATAGAGAGAAATGCAACATATTTTTGCATATTGATTTTGTATCCTGCAACTTTACTGAGTTTATTACTTCTAATAGTTTTTTTATGGTCTTTAGGGTTATCCACATATAAAATCTCATCCACAAATAATGAGTTTCACTTCCTTCCCAATTTGGATCCCTTTTGTTGTTGTTTTTTTTTGTTTGTTTATTGTTGTTTTTTGCCTAATTACTCTGGCAAGGACTTCCAGTACTATGTGAATAGAAGTGGCAAGAGTGGGCATCCTTGTCTTGTTCCTGATCCTAGAGGGAAAGTGTTCAGTTGTTAGCTGCTGTGTATCATGTGGCCTATATTGTATTGTGTTGCAGTACTTTCCTTCTAAACCCATTTTGAGAGTTTTGTCATAAATGGATGTTGTATTTTGTTGAGTGCTTTTTATGTATCTATTGAGAGTTGCTTTTTATGTATCTATTGAGAGTATCAAGATTATTATCCTTCATTTTGTCATTTCCTTGTGTCTAAACAAAAATCAACAAAAACCTTTGTAGATAGTGTTACATGTCATGCATACAAATATTTCATGTCTTTTACCTCCTTTTAATATTTTTGGTCTTTCCATATAATATTTTTCTTTGCCCTGCTTCTCTTACGGGTTTGTGCTGATGTTTGTTACTTTTAGAAGGATGATCTTTCACAATACTTGCCTCTGACCAGAGGGGATGTCCCCTAAATAGGTCTTTCCTTCACTTTCTGACCCTGGAAGCTCCCAGTATAGGTGAAGGCCCTGCCTGCTTTCCTTCTAGACACCTTAAAACAAGCTGAAGGATGAGTTTCTGTCCCCATTTTAGAGCTGGCTCATTGGTCGGGTGCGATTGGGGTTCCCAGTTTGTATTACCCCATATTTTGGTGGACATTAGTACAAAGGACCAGCATGGCACTGGGAATTCCTTATGTGTGCCCCTTGAGTAGGCAACAGCTGAGCCTAAAGCTGCATGCCTGGCCAAAAACATTGCACTTTGATAGCACTTCCCAGGATAGTAATTAAACACAGACAAAAGCTGAGGATTTATGCTACACCATGACGCTGGCAACAACAGAGGCCATTACATTTGCTGCAAGAGGGCCAGGGGAGGAAACACGTGGCCCCTTCAGTGGCTCCCACCCTACTAGGTTCCAGCCACGAGTGTACAATCTGTCTTAAGTAGGATTAAGCTGAGGTTTGGACCAGTGAAGTGTACAGTGTCAGTCCAAGGGGCTGGAGCTAGGCTACAATGCCACTTGACTAATGAGGGAAGTTAGTAAGCTGATGTGTTCTAATTCCATGAGTAGACACTCCAGCCACCAGGCTTCCCTTTGTTCCTGGAGGCCCCTGAAATGTGTTTCTCTCATGTCTCTCCTTTTTACCCCACTTCACCCTTCTTTCTCAGGGAGCAGCCAGTCTCTGTATTTAAAAGCATCAGTCCTCCTGTTGTCCTGCTTTTCCTCTGAATGGTGTGGTTTGGCAATGATTTCCGTGCTGCTCCATATCGCCTGAATTCTGGTGATTTTGGTTCAAGCAAATCCCACCATTGTTTGAGCCTGTCGGTCCCAGTTATGTGAGGTGCCAGACCTAGGTTGATCTGCTCAGATCTGCATGGCCCCTGAGACAACCTGGTTGATCTGCTCAGATCTGCATGGCCCCTGAGACAAAGCCCTGAGCTTCCCGCCTCCTTTCCTAGAAGGGTTATTTTATTTATTAGAGAGTTCTCACAGGTGATTTTTGCTTTGAGCCAGAGATGTGGGTTCTCCTGAGATCTTCACTCTTCTTTTCCTGAATGTTGGACAATTTCAACTGGGAACTTCTTTTAGGAGACTATTGTGATGGACAAAAACATTGGTCAAAGTCTAAATACTTACCAGTAGGAGATAATTATATATTTGATGAATAGCTTTTCATTAATATAAGGAAGCACTTCTGTGATAAATGAAACAAAAATGGGTCACAAATTGTATACACATTATGGTCATAATTATGTTACAAAACAGAAAGACAAAGATGGGAAGGGAAAACTCCAAAATACTAGCCTTGGTTATCCTGAGGGAATGGGAATACAGGTGATTCGTTTTTATCTTTTCTATTTTTCCTTATTTTCTACAGTGATTAACTTTTATAATTAGAAACAATGGTTTTCATAGAATTTATTGGGGTGACATATATAATAATAAAATGGTAATATGCTAATTAGACCAGACAGCTGAATGACCTTCCAGATGTCGTTTTGGATGAAGCTGCAGCAGCAGGGGCTGAGGCAGGTAAGCAGAGCAGTTAGGAACGATCAGGCCAGCAAGCGGTTAGAAACTAGCGGTCCCAGACTGCGAGAGGGATCTCTGCCAGTTTGGACATCCCCTGAGGGGTTTTGCATTGCAAGTGGGTGCAGGCTGGGCTGAGCACCCCTCCCATGCACAAATTTCATGCACTGGGCCTCTAGTCTATATAAGGCTAATATGCAAAGTGTCCCCTCAGGAGTTCGACTGGGAGACCAATCACTCACTATGATGTGCACTGACCACGAGGGGGTGACATGGAATAAAAGGAGGCCCTATCTGGCAGCTGGAAGGCCCTGATCACTGGCTACGTCTTAAGGACCACACCCATGCACAAATTTCGTGCACCAGGCCTCTTCACATGTGTCAAACACAAGGCCCGCGGGCCAAATCCATCCCGCCAGGCCTTGCAATGTGGCCCGCACCGCGCTGTCATCACTGCACTCCGCTGCGTTTCCATCACAATGACAGTTTATGACTGTTCAGTAAACCATTCGGCCCGCAATTTAGGCTGGATTTTAGATTTTGGCCCCTTCTCTGATTGAGTTCGACACCCCTACGTTGGTTAATAAAATTATACATATTTCAGGTACACAGTTCTATAGTACACCATCTGTATATTGTATGTTCACCCCAAGTCAGATCTCCTTCCATCACCATTTATTCCCCTTTCCCTCTGGTAATCACTATACTGTTGTCTGTGTATATGAGTTGGCAAATGTCTTATTATTCAGTAGCTTGTTCCCTCATTCTGTTGATGGCTTCCTCTACACACAAGCTTTTTAGTTTGTAGTTCCAGTTTATATAGTCCCATTTATTTCTCTTTCTTTTTGTTTTCCTTGCCTGAGAAGACATACCTATAAAAAAAAATATTGTTTAATGTCAAAGGATTTACTGCCTGTGGTTTTCTATAGGAGTTCCATGGTCTCCGGTTTTACACCCAAGTCCCAGTCCATTCTGAGTTCATTCCTGTATATAGAGTAAGAATGTGGTCCAGCCTCACTTTCCTGCAAGTATCTGTTCAGCTTTCTCAACACAGCATCCACCTAAGAGACTGTCTTTACTCCTCTGTACAGCCCTGCCTCCTGTTAGGTCAGTTGATGATATAGATATGGGCTTACATCTAGGCTCTCCACTCTGCCCCATTAATCCACACATCTGTCCCCATACCAGTACCACACTGCCTTGACCACCATACCTAAAGTCAGGTAATGTCATACCTCCAACTTTGTTCTTTCTCAAGATTGCTTTGGCTGTTTGGAGACTACTGTGTGGATGTTGACTCCATGGAGTAGAAGTTGCTTTAGCTGAGTTCTGGTACCAACCAGGCTTGCCTTTCAAGGGTGTCATTTGTGGTGCTTTCATGTGGTCTGAAGTTAACCACTGGGTGTGTTGGTTCTGGAACCTCTTGGAAGGGGCTCTGGTGCAGGCCAAGGTCAGCCAATGCTTGTGCCAGGCTTGGGGCTACAAAGTGACCTGTGGTTGGCCGCTTGTGCTGGGCTTGGATGCTCTGCTGCAACCCAGCCTGGCTGCCACTGTGCAGGCTTGAGCCCTTTGGTGGGCACCACCGTGTGTGCTGAGGCCAGCCACCACTTGGATAGGGCTTGTGTCTGCTTAGTTGAGGCTATGTCCCAAGCCAAGGCTGGCCATGGCCTATACCAGGCTTGGGGCCACTTGACAGGAGTTACAATGCAAGTTGAGACTGGTTGTCACTTGTGCCAGGCTTGGAGCCACTTAGCAAGAGGTACAGAGAATGCCAGGCTGGATTCTGCTTGTTTGGGTTTTGTGGACCTTTGAGGTATTTTAGGAAAGTCCATAGCATAAGCTAAGGCAGGCCACTTGTGTGGAGGAACCACTAGACGTGGCTCAGGTCGGGCAAGCAAGTTGGTGGGGAGGATATAACACCAGGGCAGGGTGAAATGGTGTTAGCCAGTTTGATGGAGAGCTCAGATTTGGCACCCACCTGTACCAGGCTGGCAGGATGGGAGAAGGGCTCAACAAAGGAGCAGCGGCTACTACCAGCACTTCTGTCTCCAAAGAGAGCTGCACCAGCCCCGAAGCCAATCAGTTTAACTCCTCACCTTGTGTCCCTGGTGCTTTTCAAGCTGCTGCCGCTGTGCTAGAGCCCAAAGCAAGTGATTTGGGAAGCAAATGAGTCTGTTCGAGGATCCTCGAAAGAGGAATGCGGGTACTCCAACAGCCTTCCATCTCACTCTCATGCAATCTCTGCTGGTTTTTCATAGCCAGATGTTGTGGGGACTTCTCTTTCCAGTACTGGTGCCCTGGGATGAGACCCCTTGCTCCTCAGGGGGGCCTCTGTAGAAGAGATAATCTTCCTGATTTTTAATCTCCACACCATGGATAGGGGGACCTGCCCATTCCACCTTCCCACCCTCCTACCATTCTCCACGCAGCCTCTTTACAGGACTTCTGTGTAGCTTGTCCTCAGGTGGTTTTCAGTGATAACTGTTCTAGAATTTGGTTGTAATTTTGATGTGAGCATGGGAGAAGGCAAGCACAGCTGTTACCTACTCTGCCTCTTGACCCAAGTCCTATGGGCTAATTACTGACCAGCTATTTTTCCGGGAGGATGGTTCGTCCTTGGCCCAAGTGGTCTTAGGTGTGGTCAATGCTAACTACAGGCCAAGATTAAGAGGTGCCATATGAGACACACAGGACACCACCCCTTCCAGCTCTCACTAGAAAAATGAGAGGAATGAGGAAAACTGCCCCAGGAAATGTTTGTTTGTTTTTAATTTCCAATTTTGATAAGTAGAAAAATACAAACATTAACTATTGATCATCCCAGCCAGATTTGGGGCCAGGTCCCTGTGGATTATGATTTCTGTTTTTAGTTATTTTTCATTTGTATCTTCATTATGGGGCCATTTTCTCTAAGCAGGCTGGGTTTTCTGAACCTCATCTAAGAGCAATGGTTAACTCCTACCTCCTTTGAAGCCCCATCCTTCACCACACAGATTTCAGTTAATTCAATGGACAGGAGACAGCTGGGCTGGCCCTCCTGCTCCTGTCAGCAGGAGCCTATATGTAACCATCTCACACCTCCTCTAACCCCTCCCTGCTGGTGGCTGAGTCAGCTGGTAGGGAGTACCTGTCTCTGCAGTGTGGCCTCCTGCTCTGCTCCATGGGAGCAGCTCAGCATGGGAAGGCTCCAGGTGTGTCCACATCCGCCACAGAGCAGCTTCCTCCCAGATGTGTCAGAAGCAGGTAACCGTGTGGGCCACACTCGCAGCTGGAATTCATTGCATCTGCTTGCTGACTTCTCTCCCCACTTCTGCCTGCAGGTGTTTGAGGAGCTGTGGAGGAGTGGAGGGAAGACTCCAGCACAGATTGTTTCAGAAAAGAGGCTTGAACTGATGCAGGATCAAGAGGCCCTGGAAGAGCTCTGCCAGGCTACGATGGAGAAACATCCTCAAGTGGTAATTACCACCTATAGGGTGAGGAGGATCTTTACGAGCAGCTGAAGGGAGGGGCCAGTCTGAGGACACAGCCAAGAGCCTGTCCACAGCTCCTTGTAACATCAACCCAGAGGTGCTTCCTAATAATGGCTGATGTAGTTCAACAGTAATTCCCTAAGTATTTATGTCAGCTTTTAGCTCAAGGGATGAGCTAAAGGATAAGGTCAAGGGATGAAAGCAGGTGAATATTAGAGAAATACAGCTTTTTCCCAGGGAAAAGGAAGATCTACCCTGCAATTTAATTTCATGGCATTTCAGTTGGAAGGGTAGATCTCAGACTCACTACCCAAGTTTTGAGCTCCTGGGTACACGGCCCTCCCAGGCATGTGGCTTCTGAACATGCTGTGTCTGCCCTGCTTCATGAGGCAGAAACACGTTAACTTCATGCCATTAACAGGTGGGAAGAAATGCAAAAAAAAAATATTTGTAAATTATGGAGGAAATCCTTAACAGAAGCAGAGCTGAAAACCAAGTCATTTTGTGTTCTGAGCATGGAAAATAGAAAAGCTACAATGAGTAGCATCCCTCCCTCCCCAAGTCTAATATTGTCTAGAGATATTTTTCAGCTGGGGTGGGGGGGGAGATAATTAGTATTTCTTTCAGAATAACAGCCACCTACCCATCAGCTTGCCAAGGGCATTCAGCTCTGGAAAGTGCTCTTGACAAGGAAATGAGCCTACACTGGGAACCTCTGTCCTCCTGCCTCAGCTGTAGAGACCTATAAAGTTACACTTTTAGTTTCAGACTCATTCCACAGCACTGAGTGGAGATACTCACAGGTTTTATTGCCCATCAGGCCTGCAGAGCAGGAGAGGAGCCGGTGGACCTGGCACCACGGTGCAGTACCCCTCCCTGCCCCCATCCACATGCTCGGGGAGAGTCACCATTCCGTGGCTTTGTTTTCTAGTAAACAGGAGTTTAAACCTTCCAGGGAAAAGGAGACCTGTATGTCAGTGCTGCTGACCTCCACTGGAGGCCCACACAGTCCTCTGTCCCTGCCAGTGGGAGGCAGAGTGGCAGGATCTCCAACAAGAGCCTAGAAAACACCTCAGATCTTCACACAGCCCCTTCCTTCTCTCATACAAAAAGAAACAATTTAAATTTCAGTAAATACAAACCTTAGTTTAAGATGTTTAGGTATGAGTCTATATTTTCTCCTCTAAAACAATTTCTGTCTTGAAAGGTAATGGATCTGAAGAAGGGAAACCCCAGAGCTATAAATAAACTGATTGGCTTGGTCCGAAAAGCGACTCTCAATCGAGCAGACCCCACTGTGATAAAGGAGATGCTGGAGAGGCAGCTGTCATCATGAGGTACTTCACTCCGTCTGCCTGAGGGAGAGAATGGAGCCACGACACAGAGCCAGAGCCTCGGAACCCAACGTCCGCGAGCGAGCTTGACGCGCCGGCATCCCCCAATCCCTGGGTGCCACCTCCACAGGCCAGCAGCCTTACCTGTTCGCATCACTGACATCAAAATGGCTCCATCATAGCTGCAAAGGTGGTTAATTAAGCACATTCTAGTGCTTAATAATTCTGAGCTAAATGAAACATGCTGTTTCTGATACTGTTACCTAAGAAAAAGTTCATTATGCAGTTATTTCAGCAAATATTTCTGAGCACATCCTAAGGGCCAGCAGTGATTGAAAGAGACCAGAATCTGGGTGCCGTATTTTAGACCTAAAAAGAGGTTGATGAAGAGGAAAGAGGAAGACAGCAAGATAAATCCATTGACAGTGTGTTTAGATTTGTCTCCTGAGGGCAGGAGAGGAGGATGTCGGTCACCCATCCACTGAGTAGAAGTGGTGCCCATTCAATCAACGCCCTAGGAGGGCATACTCTGAGAATAAATGGATTTTTTCTTTTTGGTAAAATAGACAACAGAAGTTTTCAAATAAATTTAATGAATAAAATATGTATTGATATATCACATTAAAAATTAACATTTTAAAGATTGTGCAGTTGACAATTCCCCTGCCCCCTCAGGCCAAGAGAGATAAAAAAGAGAAATAATAAGTTGTAACATTAAGTTGATCTGTTTTGCCCGGAAAGAATAAGATTATAAACTGGCAAATCAAAATTTTGACCTTTAATGGTAATTGTGGTGCCATTACAGCATCTCCGTGAAGTCGGGTGCCTTTGCCGCTGTTCTCAAGACAGTAATACTCTTTCTGTCCGTCGCACTGGGCGCCCCTTTGCCCATTTAATGCCTTTTTACCTCTGACTCACCATGCTTAAAGGCCTGTTTTGTAAGTGGTGGTTTTTAAAAGCACATGTCAAATTGTGACATACATGAGAGAGGAAACATTTTGGAAGCCCTACTTTACCCTGAATTCTTTAGCCTACAAAGAAAAGTATAAACATTTCAGGCATGAATGGTGCTCCCATGGCGGCGGAGAAAAGACCTTCCCCATCACCAGTTAGCAGTGATGGTCGCAGACGCAGGACTTCCTAAGCAGGTAATGGGAAAAGCGATCCTCTGGCTAATTTAGAATTAGAATATGTTATACCCCCCAAGAAGCTATGTGTCCCCCATTCTGTCCCAATACTGACAACCACTGGGCCTAAAAGTAAAGTATCACCATTGAACCTCTTTTCCAGAGAGAAAGGCAAGTCCATTCTCTCTCTCTCCCCACAAGTCTCAGAATTAATTTCAAACAGGTAAGGACATTGTGAGGTTGGAATCTGGCAGGATCATTATTTTGCAAAGCCTGGCTTCTTAGTCATCAAACTTGACAGAATGCACTGGAGGAGCTTTTCAAACCATTGGAAATCAAGGGCTGGTTTAAACTCTTACATCAAGTGTACACTGTACTATGGACTGACCGTTCTCAGAGAAACATGCCGTCTTCAACTCACTCGAGCTTCACCAAGCTGACTGTGGTCCTGGAATCCCACTGCTGAAATCCTAAAAATCAGACTATTGTGTGGTTATAACTGCTTATGAGAAAAAGAAAAATCATACCACAGCTCAGATATCTTACTTCCTGTAAGAACCTGACTAGATATTCAGAAGATATGTTCACGTAGTACCCTAAGAAATCCACGAAATCTGGCTCTGCTCCCAATAGACCTCAGTGAATACAGTTTTAAATACAGTATGACTTTGCAAGAGTGTGATTTAGTCTGTCTGCTATTTAGGGGCAAATCTCATTAAAATGTATGAGTTGGTGCCACAGGTGAAGCCACTGCCATCTGTCATTGGAATCGCACACCTGTAAGCTGGGAGGGGAATGCGCCAGAAAACAGGCTGCCCCCCAGGTCAGGTCAGCCTGGCCAGGTGCAGGCCATGTGCTGTGTTGCTTGAGGAGGTTGCTTGGTTGGTTATGGTGGGAGGGGAGGAATGTCAGCCTCAGGACTCACCATGCTCCCTGGCACAGAATAAGTACTTAGTAAAAGTCATTAATTTATAAAACGAAATTTTTTGTGGGGCCACCTTTGCATGAGAAGTTGGTGCCCACTTACTCAGCTTGTAAACTCTGGATCTCTTGGTCTAGGAAGGAGCTTCCTGACTGCAGGCCTGTGCCTCAAGGTGAACTGTTCCTACCTGTCAAGGTGTAAGTAGCCCAGGAAAAAAACAAGTCGATCATTATTTATGCCAAGGATGCGTTACCTGAGCTTCACACACCACCCATCTTTTTTGTAATTATTGCTAATCTTTACAATAAGATTGTAAGAAGGCCATGAAATGTTTTGAAAGTAACATCCTCTTGGGGCTTTGAGTTAGCTAGTTAATTCAATATACAGGTTATGGCCACCACCCACAATTTGTTGTATTTTTTTCATTTCTTGCATTTAGCTGTATCATTTCAAGGATTCTGCAAGGTGACTCTTTGGGAAAAAACACTAAATCTCTCTGAAAGGCCATGTTCCTCATTACAGAAGCAGTGTGGAAACGGCTGCCATGCTTCTTCAGCAGATTGGAGACAAATGCGCCCGGGGATTGTTTAAGAAGAGAGCTGACCCCCGATTGTGAGATGCAAAGCATCTGACTGAAATCCAATCTCACTGCCTGCCTTCGTCAAACAACTTAGCAGAAATCAATTAAGTAACATCGTCAATACCAAATTCCCTCTCTCAAAATGTCTCCAGGGCAAAAGGGGGCTAGTTATAGGTGGGCCTTGTGTAGACTTGTGCCAGTGAAAAGTCCGCTGATGCGCTAAGCAGCACAGACTTCTGCAGTGTCAGCTCCAGGAAATTTATAATCTGGCCTAAGAGCTTCCATCACTCTTGCCAGGCTCTGCAATGACATAGGACACCTAAGTGCCCTCAAAGGTGCCTGTAGGACATGCTGAACTCTTGCTGGCAGGACCTGCGAGCAGCCTTGCTGCTTGTGTGAGTGACAGCGAGTTAGGTCAGCTCACATGTAAAACGAACAAAATTCAATGACCCAGCAGGTCAGGAAGGGTCAGTCCCCACCTAAAATCACTATTCACTTCAGATCCCAAGTGCAGAGGCCGAAGAACTGAAGGCATCTTCCCACCGCATGCCTGTGTTTTCCCTACCGGACCTCACCGAAAATCTTTCACTAAAGCCCGTTTATCCAGTTAATGAGCTGCCTGGATAATCTGTCCGCAGAACAAGTAATGGCCCAATAAATGCTGGGACGTGGAGAGGATTTACTGAGGCAAAATTATCCTGAAAACAACACTTCGTCTCCCAGGCCCTCTTTATTAAAAAAAAAAGGCATTAGGTTTATGATGGTCATTCAAACAAAAAATAAAAAGCCGACTCCATTCTCTTTCAAGTATTTCCTCAATGATGTAATTTAAGGATGGAGTATAAACTGGCTTGACAGTGTTCTGTTTTAAGCTGTTATTTGGTGGGAAATTCATGTTGTGTGATGTATAGAATGATAGCAGCAGCAGGAAGGGGCCTGAGAATATCTACTTAGCGACTTAAAGCTGATGTGGCATCAGCGACCAGAGGACCGCTGTTTCCAGGAAGAGCCAGTACTGCAAAGCCAGCTGAGATTTGCAGCAAGCCACGAATTACACTGGCTTGGGCCAAGGACTGGAAGTGGCACATTCAATAATAGCCTTCCTACAGTAAGCTGTTTCATAAAAATAGCAAGCATGCCTGCCAGTTCAGTAAACACAGGGCAGGTAATTAGCAATTAAATCAAACTGCCCTTAAATGAGAACTGGAGGGGAAGCTGTGGACATTTAACATCACACCAGTGGCATGCCTCACCCCTGCTGGGGCAGTCCTTCCTCATGAAAGCAACCTAGACACAGTGATCCGATTCAGAATGCATTGCAAACACATACTATGCTTCCAGATTCTGTTCCTCATGGGACGCCCTCCTGACTACCACGTTACCACAGGAAAGCCACTTGCTATGGAAGAGGTGTTCTGAGGGCCCTAGATGACTGAATGCCTCCTCTCTGCAGGTGACAGACGCAGTGCCAACCCCAAAACAGCAAAGCATTTTCCAAAGCACAGGGTGGGCAAAAGTGGGTTTACAGTTGTGAGTACATGAAACGGAGTTTATTCTTCAGTTATTATTTGTATGACAATATACAATAAAACTACTTTTGCCCACCTCTGTAATACTAAGAGAAAGGGGGCAGTTTTATAATTCCCCTCAATACCAGGAGAAGAAAGAATCCATTGATAAAGAAAATCCCACCGCTAACTGGTTACTCCAGCATCATGGCTGACAACTTAATGGCTAATAAATTGTCATTTGCTCCCTCCCCCCAAATTGTATTCGAGCTAAACTCAAAATTTCTTTGTTTAAAAATTTAAGAACATTTCCTTGGCCCTTTTGAAAAATTCAATTTTAAATAGCTCCTTCCTATCATATACCACAAAACTCACTTCACCTGAACTGAACCTCAGACCCTACTTATGAGTGGAGGTTAATGCTCTGATGTTCCAGGAACCCCTGACTGGCCTCCGTTGGCCCAGGACACCATGACACCAGCCAGGGGCTTCCCACAAGGCTCTGCCCTCTTCTTCCACAAGTAGCACAGTGTTGGACGTGCCAGTCTGTCCAGATGGAAAAGTATCTCAACTCTTGGGCCATGTTTTAGAGCATGCCAGATATCTAATTTTTCCCCAAAACTTATTACAGAAAATATTTCTATGTGACTAGAATATTTTACTTCATTACCAGAACTTTTCCCAGCCTCACCCACTTCCTGCACAGTATCTTCATATCAACCTAGACCAATGTTCATTCCTCCAGCCCCTAGGATATGCTCTTCTACTTACAGCCTCAGTTCTTCAGTTTTCCCCTGGCACATGCACACCATCTGTAAACCACATTACTAACCCACCTGGCTGTTTCACTCAACCAAATGGGTTTTCTGGTTTTCCAGAATGTATTTCCGGGTCAATTTTCTGAATTAACGGTGTAAAACCCTGGACACAATACTCTGCAGTGGATTCAGAAACATGAACCAGTTTCTGATGTCAAACAGGTTAATGTGAATTTGCTAACAGCACCCAACCACTGGAGTTTCTTTTCCTGCCTCTCACCCCAGACACTGGTCATCTCTGTCTCCTGTAAAGTAAGTCTACTTCAGAACCTATTTAATAAATACCAAGAACCCACACCATCACCAGATAATGGAGATACATGTAAACAAAACCTAAAAGCTTGAAGAGTTTCCAGATGTAACTTCCACATTTTATGTACCTGGGAAGTCCAAACTGGGAGACAAATACTTGTGCAAAACAAAGGGAGAGGCTAATAACTTAAAGCTTACCTTCCCTCCTCCTGCTCTTTCCCTCCCTTTTCCAGTGGAGACCTGGTTGTGCAAATGCAAGCAGGCGCCAGGAAGCCCACTACATGCCAGTCTGCTGGGCCTCGTGGGTTCTAACTGCTGCACCATAGCTGGGCAAGCCATTTTTCAAACCAGACAAATTTGAAGTTAGAAACGTTCAATGAATTGGTGTCTTTGGTTGCTTGCTTAGACTCGGAAACACTACAAGGTTGGCCCCTAAAAGCCAGTCTCAGTGGCTGTGTCAAGGTCCCTAGAACACAAAAGGTGGCCGCTGCTCTGCAGGGCCTCAGATACAATTGCTTCTTCCACTCCCCTCCTGACCCAGAGGCTGGTTAAAACCAAACCAGTGCTCCTGAGGCACAGCCACCAGACCTGTGGCTGCCTGCTACTCTTCTCCTCCACCCCCCACCCCCGAGGTTCAGCAGTGACACCACAGAGACAGAGACCTGGGGTTTCCAAGTTCCCTCCACACAGGAGGCTCATCCTTGTAAGTGCTTCTCACCTGCCCCAAATAGGAGGAGAATTGAATATCCATCAATACCCGTTGTTTAGGGTCTCATTTTTAGCCCACACTTATCTTGTGTGTTTCTCACTCTTAGTGATGATTGAAGGAGACTATGGCTTCTCTTATAATTATGCCTCTTGGTGCAAGCTGAAAAGCAGCAGAAAGGCACTAACACATCACACTGGGGTCTTCCAATGAGCCCCATTTTTCAGGAGGCGGTGATTCCGAGTGCAGTGAGTCACTGGCAGGCACTTGGCTTTGCAGGGCTCCCTGCGACCTGTTTGCATTTGCATCCCAACCCCCAAAGCAGGTGTACAGTTCCTGGTTCTCTACAAAGTGCAACACATTAGGAAAAGCAAGCAACATTTAAATAATTAGCAATGATTCTATAGGCTGCATTTATCTTTTTCCCTCCATATTCCACACACACATCAAAACACAAGCACCAAAAAAACCCCACAAACCCTACTATGAAATGGCTTCACAAATTAATCTGGTTTTCATAAAACACTTTAAAAAATAATGATGGCTGTCTTATATATGATAGCATGCTTTCTTCTGAGCAAAATCCTAAAAACCAAAGAAACAGTTTGCATAGGTATATTTCACTTTGTGCAAATCTGACTAAGATAAGGCTACTTTCAGTGTTAGGTGACACACCAAATCATCTCTCCAGCAGCAGGAACATTTCCCAAATTCTCTTCAACTGCATCAGCCTCCCAGCAGACAGCCAAGACCAATGGATTTGCCTGCACCATAAGCAATCTGTGTTGAGCAGAAAGCGAGTCTTGGACATAAAATGCTTAGGGACAGATTATAACGTGCTTACGTGATGGAGGCTCCATTTTTATTCTTCCCTTTGATAAAATGGAAGCCAAAAATGCAGAAGGCCACAGGAATGGGTGTGCTTTCTTCATGTGCCATTGAAGAGCCGACCTGACAAGGGGTGCTTCCAGGAGTCACTGAACCCCAATATTCGCTTGGTGTGCTCTACGCTGTAAGAAGAGTCAACTCAAAGGGATGAGAGAATAACAACCAAAATATTTTAGGGAGAACTGAGCAAAGAAAACCCGCCCAAGGAGCAGCCAGCTTATGAGACTTACATTCTGTATGGCGCAGGGTGGGAAGGCCCAGCGAGAGAGAGAGGAGGTGCCCAGAAGGTCCCCTCCCCATAAATCAAGTATTGTCAGGAAACATCAAAGTAGAAATCTTTGTAAGCAGCTTTGCATTTAACATTCAGTCAAGACACTAAAACCTTAAAAAATAAGAACCTCCATTAAAAAAAAAACAAAAACAAAAAAAAACTAACAATAGGAGTCCTCAAAGTCGCCCAGGATCTTGTAGCAGAGAACGGAGTGCTCCTGGGCCAAGGCAGCCAGTTCCTTCAGGAACTCAGGGAAGAGGGCCGCAGCCAGCATGGTGTTCCTCACTGGCAGGGGCAGGCTTGGCGGCACCCCCGCCACCGTGGCTCTGCTCGTCAGGAAGGGCTGGAGCACTCGTGGGGGACCATCCAGAAGGTTCCTGCCAGCTGCCATCCTGGAAGCATCCTGAGTGGGATCTGAAACCAGAAAGCAGACGGTCACAGGGGCCCTCCAGAGCACTTTACCTCAAACCTCGCAAGTGTGTGTTGAAGGGAAGAAGGCGGGTGGGGAGTGGTGGGTCCGGTTCTATGACTGACTGAAGCCTGAAGACAGCCCTGAGCACGCACTAGTCCCCTCGGTGGCTCACATACTTGTCCAGCAGATAACCTTCAGCACAGGCATGAGATGTTAGGCTTTTATGCCAAAGCCTGGATAAGGAACATGATGCAGAGAATGTGACAAGAATTTAGGTTTATCAGGAGCCCCCATGCCCAGGACTTGGCAAAGGGAAGCGTTGAAAAAGGCATCTCCTACTGACCAGTGATTCTCTCTCATTGATGTTTCTATTCCTCCCTCCCTTTCCCTTCTCTGGAATCAATAAAAATATTTTTAAATAAAAGACAGAAAAAGTCATCTCCTTCCATTGCATCAAACAAGTGACGGCATAACTCACCAGGATGGTAATAGGACATCTAAGGGCTCCACCTGCTCTCCTAAAACTCCTGGTGTCTGTTGGGAGACTGTCCTACTTGTGCTGGCAAAGCTTTAGCACACACATAGCACTGCTGCAGGGGGGAGGCAGGGCCACACAGCACTGCTGCAGAGGGAGGCGGGGCCACAGCCACTGCAAGCTCTGCAGCTCATACTCCAGCCTCTGGGGTTCCATAGTGACGGCATTCCTCCCCCTCCCGCAAGCCCCTTCTGACTGGGACCTCCAGCCTTCAGTGGAGGATAGGATGAGAGAAGCCACTGAAATGTTGGAAATTATGGAGAGGAAGTTGGGTGCTGGGAAGACATCTGGTGACATGTGGCTTGGGAGCCTCCCGTTAAGGACGGTTTCCAGGGGTTTCTATCTCAGTTCCAGTAACGTAGGTCTCAGATGACAATGAGCCCAAACTTGAACATATTCAAGTGATTTGCATTTTCATATCAAAGCAGTTTCACTAATTAAAATGGTTCAACTTTCCAGACTATTTAATTCCTGAACAGCTCTAGCCTTCATATAGTTATAGGGGTTATTTATGCCTCCTTCTGCCCCCTACTCAAAAGTCGCATTACTCTTTATAAATCATTATATTCATGCTCTTCATTATTTTGGCTGCTTTTCAGAATTCCAGTCCCATTTTTAACACTCTAAGAAGAGTGTCGCTTAACTACAGTGCTAAAAATTCTTGACATTTATAGTACTTTCCATATCTCACTACTATCATCTTTAGTGTTAAAAAAAAAATTCTTCGCTTTACTGCTTTAAATATCCTTTTTTATTAAAGCTTATCACAGTTCGTGCCATAAAGAACTAGAAAAGAACCTGCTGGTACCTTTCAGCAAAAGCCCACAGTGTGTCTGACATCAGAGGGTGGACCACAGAGTTGACGTCACTGAGGACAGTACTGACGTCACTCACCAACCATGGAGACATCCCCTCGGCACCTACACCCCAACCTCCAGCACTGCATCTCTCCACAGGTCCCATGAGGCTCACGAAGGACACTGTCCTGGACCAGTGGGTAATGGGACACGTGGGCACTGACCCCAGACCAAGACCTGCTCTCACACTGGCTCCCCACCTGGAATCCCCACCCCCACACCTCTGTCACTAGCCTTGAGACTCCAGTACTGCGGCTGAGAGCAGACTCCACCACCAGCTGGCTGAGTAACATCAGGCAACTTGCTTTACCTCTCTGTAATGTCCTCACGAGTGAAAGGCTCACAGAGTTGTAAGGATGAAATGAGTCAATAGGTAAAATGTACACAGGGGCCTCTTGATAGGTGTCAGCCATGTGTCGTCATTAATTCAGCTGCCACTGACTTTACAAAGCACTTTCTGTTTCCTGCCCCGGGGAGGAATTCCCTGATCAGCCTCCCACCCCATCCTATTTACCAATAATACCTGCATTGCCCTGTAGCCTGCATTGCTGTACGTTTTTCTTCCTCTGGGAGACTCAGATTTCTGAGAGCTGAGCCCCTACTCAATATGTCCCTTCCTGGCCCCACACATTTCCTTACTCAGAGTAGAAGCTAATAAACATTTGCTGGCTGAATGAGGGAAGAAACAGACCAACATCAGGTCTTCCCTACACTGATCTTTCTGGAGCTGGTTCATATTCCTGATCTACATCTTTCTCTTTCAAAGTCACTCTTCTTTTCTCCAAAAAGGTTTTTTGTGGCTCATATTTGTAGCTTGATCCATGAATTTAAAAAGTGTCATTGCTAAAGCTCATTTATCCAGCTTGAATCCTAGACTCCAAACTGTCTTCACTATAGAAGGCAGGTGGCCCCCTGTGAGGAGGACCAGGGCTGGCAGGGTACCCAGCTCTGTCCTGTCAGCATGGGACCAGCTTTCCAATGGGTCACGCAGCCCCATCGGGCTTTTGACTCAAAGCAAGAAAGCTAGAGGTGTGGTGCCTCCCTGGCAAGTAAATTATATAATGTCTGTTTCTTTTTCTGTAAAATGGGGCCAATACCTACCTCACCTCCCTCCCAGAACTAGACACCAGAGAGGACTCTGAATATAAATAAACACAGCCTCTGTGCTTGAGAAAGTATCCGAGGGGGAAATGAAAAGCCTGGGAAAGGGCTGAGTCTCAGAGACAAGGCGGCGATGGGATGGCTACACGGGAAGCCCATCGGCTCTGCAGCGGCGGTCACACAACCTACTGCTGTTTGAAGGCAGTGAGGAGGCCCTTTTTCTCCCGGGCCGCCAGGAGCTGAGGGAGGCATGGCCTGCCTGACAGAGCAGCTCTGGCTGCTGGGGCCTGAGACACCCTCATAAAGCACGTGCACAGAGGCCAGAGGAGGGGAGGCACAGATCAATGCCGGGGTCAGGAGTGGTTTTCAGAAACGCTGCCTTGGGTCGGAAAAGCTGCAACCCAGCATTTTCAAGACTAATCCTGGCAAGATTTCAGAAGTTAGGAGAGCAATCGTTACCGCTCTGCTCCTGGTCAGCAATGTCAGACGGAGCACAGACACGGACATGGGAAGCCCAGCGTTTGACCCCTTCCCGGGATTCCTCATTACACGTTCCGTTCTCAGGGACAGCGCCCCTGGACCCCGCTCCTAGGCAGCACCTGCCTCAGAAGCCCGCTCTGCACAGGGGACAGGGCCTTCCCCCTCCTGGGAATCTGGAGTTTTTTTCAAGTGGAGCAGAGGCCACCACTTTGCTAACCTGAGAGAAGTTAATGTGGAGAAACTCCATGAAAGGAAAGAATTAGATCCCAAGAGAAGCCCCACTAGGCAAAGCCCCGAGTGTCACAGACCTGAACAAGCGTCGGCCACAGCTGACCAATGGGACAGCATCATGTGGAACAAGCTCCCCTGGGCCCGTAGCTGGTGGCCATGGCCAACGGTCTGAAGCCAGAACAAAGCACGGGTGTGGGTGACCCCATCCTTCACCAGGACACGCACCTGTGACGTCCGTCAGCGTGTGTGCCCTCGGCCCGTGAACTAGGCAGGCAGTCTGAGGCACCTGGGCCGCATGGTCCCACCTGACTAACCTGGGCCCCTACTTTCAGCTTCCTTGCATGAAAATGAACCTAACAGTTCCTTTCTTGCCCGTTTCACAGTGCTGTTAGAAAATAAAAATGGACCGTCTGGGAAAACACTACAAACTATGAAATACAAAGGAAGACCAAGTCTGGAGTGTAATGTAAGGAAACTGAGGTCCCCTCCTGCCTGGTAGACTGCAAGATGGGCCACTCTTTGCAGCTCTTCCCATCAAGAGGTGGGAGTTTGCTGCTCTTGGACTGGGGCTGGCCCGGGGACTAAGGCCAATAGCATGCAGGATACCAGAGCCTCAGAAGAGCTTCTGTGTTCCTGCTCTCACTGCAGCCCCGGGGTAAGACATTTGACCAGCAGGGGTAAGCTGCTGGATGAGGAGAAACACAGACCCCTGCCATCCCCATTGCCCAGCCAGCAGCCACCCATGTGACTAAGGCCATCCCAGACACCAGCCACCTGCAGACAGCAACCCGCAAGCCAAACTCAGCCAAGCCCAGCCCAGGTGACCGCGCTGACTCCGAGTCCTCCATAAATGGCTTTCTATGAACCCACTGTTTGTGCAATGGCTTGGTATGCACAGGAGCTGACACACCCTCTCTCACAGGGTGCGATGTGGTAACACCCTCCCATTCAGGGGGAACAGGCTAACAGACCAGCTGTTCAGGCAGAGGCCACATGGGCCTGCAGTCCACCTTCCCACAGGCTCCTCTCCCTCCATGAATGGCCTGCCTGCTATCCTCTAGGCCAGTGTTTCCCAAACTTTTGACATATGTGTACCCCTTCTATAATTTTCGTAACGCTGATTACCCCTCGCACTCATGTGAACGTAGAATTAGGCGCAGCTAAGCACGGTGCAGTGCATATCCCCACCAAACTCCAGTACAATGCGTACCCCCACCAAATTCTTCCCATACCCCTGGGGGTATGCGTACCACACTTTGGGAAACACTGCGCTAGGCCAAAGCCTGAAGCCCCCCTCCCGGTGGCACAAGGCCCACCTTTCTTGCAAAATCTGCCTTGCAATGCCCTAAGGGCTCTTCACTCCCAGAGTCCTACAGCCACAGAGGAAGTCAGAGATGGAAAACAAATTCTTGAGAGTCAAGGAACCTGAGGCCTTAGTGAGGCCCAGTGACTGAGACCAAAGAGCTGCACAGAGGCGAGGTCAGCCTTCAGAGTTTCCCTTAAAGATTTAAGAATTGCCCTGAGGTAGATTTCTGTCTCTGGGAGCCAGTTTCTGCTCATAAGCCTTTAGCCCAGGACTGAGACCCCCACTCACCACTTGTCTCAGTCTTGAAAATGCTGTGTTGCAGCTTTTTGGACCCAAGGCAAATACGGGGCATTTCCTGGTCCACACTCACCCAGGCCACAGTGATAGCTTAGAGAACAACTAGCAGTCCAATCATCCAACCTGGGCTTACGCGAAGCAAAGCATGGTGCTCCCCAGGCTGGCCGGCCAGCAGGGCGACCTCAGTTCTCCTGTGGGGCACCCACCCACCACCCTCCCTGCCCACCTTTCCAGGAGGCCCCAAGAGCTGATGAAAAGTCACCCTTAGGAACTTGAAGTGGAGCATAAACTTTACTTCTCTCAGTCCAAATGAATAGTTTTTTATCTTCTAGAGCCCTAAAGCACATTTATTTGGGGCCCAATAGTCTCTGAAAACATAATGAAGAGAGCAATGCCCTCCTCAGGGTAGGGCTGGCCAAGACGTGGCTCAGGGTGCGCAGGGAGTGCCTCCCGGCAAGAGGCACCAAGTTATGTATTCTAGGCCGCTGACAACCCACACATCCCTCCTTCCCTGTGGAAGCACATGCCCGCTAGACCCTCCAAACGGCGAATGGGCCGGGTGTGGGCCGGCAGACCTTTCTTTAGTCTTAAAGACACTAACAGGAAACTCCTCACAGTTTCATAAAAAAGAAAATACAATTTAGATGCTTTAGAGCCCACGGGCCTATGCAGCATCTTTGAACCCAGATGGAGTGGCTATGAAATGGAGGAGGAGGAGAGATGCAGGGGAAAAGTCCGGCTCACCTTTGGGTAGTGACTCAGCTGTCACATCGGACATGTCCACTCGGAAGAGCAGGTATTGCTGGGCTTGTATGAGGAGCCCTGGGAAGTCTCTCTCCATAGAAGCAAACTGTTCGATCTTGTTTTTCACAGATGCTAGCACCTGTCAAAGGACATGAAAGATGTTAATGCTTCACATGGAAGCAATCTCTCTCGTGTTCAATCTCTCTCTCAGGGGCAGCCCTTTGGGCAGGAACTGTTCTGTTAGGCCAGTGGTCGGCAAACTCATTAGTCAACAGAGCCAAATATCAATAGTACAACGATTGAAATTTCTTTTGAGAGCCATATTTTTAAAACTTAAACTTCTTCTAATGCCACTTCTTCAAAATAGACTCACCCAGGCTGTGGTATTTTATGGAAGAGCCACATTCAAAGGGCCAAAGAGCCACATGTGGCTCGAGAGCCATGGTTTGCAGATCACTGTGTTAGGTATTTGCTCAATCCTAACTGACCTGCCGGGGTGTTTTGGCTGGGTGTCCTCTGAACATCAAACTAAATGAAGTTGTGCTGTTTGCTAGAATAATCTACACACAACTAGCAAAACAAAATGAGGAAGGAGAGCAAATGAATGAGAACAGAGGAATTAAAAACAAACAAACAACAACAACAAAACAACCCACAAAATAACGGAAAGGAGAGGGGGACCCTGCTCATCAGCACCAGTAAAATCAGCAGGTGTGGGTGTGGCTCAGCCAACGTACCTGGTAGAGAGAGCGCACGCTGGGCTGGAAGACCATGTTGGTGTTGAGCAGGAAGGAGCGCAGCAGTGGCTGCGGGTAGCTGGCCAGCTGTGTGATGATCCCGATAAGCAGCAAATTAACGTGCAAAGAGTTCTCCAGCATGTTCTCCAGCTTCGACAGGACCACGCTGATGAACGGGCCTGCGGGAGGGACACGGGCTTCAGGGCTGGCGGGCACAGGCCAGCCACCGGGGCCACGGCTCCCAAACCACAGCCCCAACAGGTGCAAGTCCCATGCAGACCCGGGAAAGGCAGCCGGCTCTCCTCCTGCCTAAAACCCATGCACACAACCAACCACCGCCACAAGGAGAGCAGGCAAATGGGCATGGGAGCTACTATCGCGATTCCATGAGTACTTTTAACACTTGGGAAACTATCACAGACCTTGGCAGATCATTTACTGTTTAAACTTAAGATATACTTTCCCACACTCTTTCCATACTTGGTGCTGCCAATGCTCAAAACCATGATGTTTTCACCTCATGACCCTGCAAGTGGTAGGGCTCCATGCAAACACGAGAGGCCACAGTTTGGGTAACAAAAAAATCTTTGTGCTATTAAAGAATAGCAAACACGTATGAACTGTTTTATCAGACAATTACATTGTGAACAGGGGCAGTCTGTCCCCAACAAGCACTGTGAGAACTAATGTCATAGTTCGGAAGGACAAGGAAAGACAAGGTAAATGAGGCTGGTAGCCCCGAGCAACTTGGTAAGCAGCCTTCAATTTTCAGATGGGAGGAAGGGAGGAGAGAAAGGACTTCACCTAGGCAGATACAGTCCGGTATGTCTGAGCTTCCTTAAAAAAAGAAAATCCATATTTCATTAAAAAGCAGTTCCTAAAAAAATTAAGAAAGCAGGAGCTTCGACTAATTGGGTCACCAGAAAATTAACATGCTTTGAGTTCATTGAAGACAGGGGAAAAAATCCAGAAAATTAATCTGGCAGTAATAAAATTACCGGAAGATATTTTCTAGTTTTACCATAAAAGTGGTCCATTAAGCAAAATCAATGAGTATTTCTCTCAGTGGAGCTATTGATGATGCCACTAAACCATAGCATCTTTATAACAAAGCACTTATCCTCTGATGGATAAACGTACCTTATGAAGACGTCACCAACATTAATATGAGTTTAACTTCCCCACATGAAGCTTTGTTCAGAAGCCGTGGCGGTGAGAAATGAGAGTACCTAACACCTCTTTCCTACGCGGACCAGTACCAGGGCAATAATCCCGCTGCCAGGAGCACAAAGCATGTCTCTAAGGATCTCAAAACACAGAGAAGGCGCCATCCCCTCCTGAACTGAACTTAGCCTTGGGATGGGTGTTGAGCTCCTCAGTCACAGTCGATGACCCAGAAGGTCGATGGGCCCTTCACACAGCGAGCCTTTGGAGAGCACTTGCTTTCAAAACAACCCTGGCAGTGTTTGCCAAACTATTCAGGGACTCTGGGTTGAAACCCCAACTTGAAGCATCTTGATGGACTTCCATCAAGAACCCCAGAAATGGCCAATACCAGTTTGGCTCAGTGGATAGAGCGTTGGCCTGTGGACTTAAAGCTCCCAGGTTCGATTCTGGTCAAGGGCATGTACCTTGGTTGCAGGCACATCCACAGTAGGTGGAGTGCAGGAGGCAGCTGATCGATGTTTCTCTCTCATCAATATTTCTAACTTTCTATACCTCTCCCTTCTTCTTTGTAAAAAATATCAATAATATATATATATATATATTTTTTTTTTAATATATATTTTTTAAAGAACCCCAGAAATGTCCTCAGGCATCACAATGCAATTCTAGCTTTCCAGGTAAGATCCACAGAGGCGGCTGTCCTCACCCTCCTCGACCCGGACCCAGCCTTTCACACCCCCTCTTGCACACCCCCGTACAGTGCCAGGCTCCGCATCTGCTTCCTACAGAGGGAGCAGACAGGTGAATTAAACCATGTGTAGGTGGGGAGAGTCTCTGGTAATACACATGGACTTAATGTGAACCCTCAGTTTCCCTGGCACGTCCCAGGCTGCACTTGGCCTCAGCCGGTCATCCCACAGACATGAAGGTGGGTGGCCATGCAGTGACCAGGACACAGAGAAAACTGCTGCCAACACTGCTGCCAGGGCAGAGAGAAAACCCAGCGCAGTCGCACCCTGGGAGCGTGCCATCCCTGTATCACCTGCATGACAGAGCATTAGGTCAAAGCCAGAAGATGGTCATTATGAGCCACTAATGGCATGAATTACAACTTCTTAGCCACATGCAATAAGAAATAGACATTAAACCCTTTCAAATTCCTGTTTTATCTTAGTTGATTTCTAACACTTTAAAAGCAGTTGCCAGGGGAAACTGGTAAGCAGCTGAACAGCAGAAAACAGCTGCAATTCAGAAAGCACAGGTGTGAATGGGGGTGACGCCCGAGGAAGAGTGACTGGTGACATTTCTGAGGTTCTGGATGGAACCCCATCAAGTTGCTTTCAAATTGGGTTTGCCATCCAGAGTTCATCCCCTCTTATTCTAGAAGGACAGATAAACTCCGCAGCCATAAGATGTGTAATTTTTCATAACAACTAAGGCAATCTCTACTGCCCTTTCCTGTCACTCACTCCCCTGTCCTCAAGTGCCCCTTCCCCTGCCTCAATATGACACCCCCCCACCCCCACACATCCTATATTTCCTGACTCCAATGAACGGAGCTGCCATCAATTCTGTGCCGGCTCTGCCCATCCCACGTTGGAAATACCCCCTGAATGTGGCCCTTCACCCCCACCCCTGCCTGCTGTGCCTGAGGTCAGTCACAGGTTCATCCCTTCCTGTCCGGACGCCAGCGGAAGTTTTTCTATTTTCATAGGGATCAAAATGATTTAAAAAATGTGTTTTCTTCAAACAGTTTAGGAGTATAAAATAAACAACAGGCCTCCACCTGGAGGCAATTCCCCTTAACATTCTAGTGTTTTCTTCAAGAAATGTTTTATGTCTATAATTTAGTAATTGAATTTTTATTTAAGACATTAATCACTATGTGCTAGGCAGAGTTCTAAGCACTTATCTTGTATCAGCTTACCTACATACTTATACTCTATGAAGTATGTTTATTATGTATCCCCATTGAAAGATGAGGCAAAATGCCAAGTGCACACAGCCTGTAAATGGAAGAGTCTGCTTCAGTTCAGACCAACCATCTCTTTCCAACACTATATCATGTCTCCCAGTCATGTGAGTGTGGGTGCATGTGTGTGTGTGTGTGTGTGTGTGTGTGCATGTGAGTATATGTATTTTTTATGACGACATTCTCTACACACTGCTCTGCACCTTGCTCTTCCACTTAGCAACATACCCCAAAGCCTGTGCCATGTCAGCACATACAGAGCTGCCTCACCTCTCTCAGGGCCATGCAGACCATGTTGCCATGGGAGTCGCGTTAGTAAAACAGTCTCCTACCAGCAGACAGCAGGATGTGTCTGGCCTTTTTCCACTATAAACAATGCTGCAGTGAACACCTTTAAGGATCCATTTTGGCACATAAGTGTGAGGACAACTGAGAAACTGCCCCTCGAAATAGGATTGCTGGAGCCCAGCCTTGGTGCACTCTGAACTCTGGCACAACCGTCTCTTACTCAACCTCCCTGGCACTGCCCTCTCCAATCCTGTGCCCTCCGTGCTACTCCAATCACATCCAATCACATCCCTGCCAACGCTAATACTTCTGGGGCATCGTCAGCACAAGGTCCCCAGCTTGGCCCAAAGGCCCCCTGTGAGCTGGCATGCACCAAGCTCGCTGGTCTCCTCTCTCATGCACACGTTCTCTGCCCTGCACACCCGCACGTTCACACCCCATGCGCTGTCGGCCTCATCTGCCTTCTGCCTGTTGTGTCTGCTGCCTGGACTGTGGTTCTCAGGCACCTTTACCTAGTTCCATTCACTGCTGTGGCCCTCTGAGAAGCCTTCCCCGCTCCCTGCCCTGGGCCCCCGTAGGACTTGGCATACAGCGACTGACAATGCATTTCTCACTAAGAGAGCTCAGTTCTTTGTTGATGTCTCCTCTAAAAGTCCACAAACTCCTTCATTTTTGTGTGTTTAGTACCTAGCATAGGACCTGCCACATAAAGGTCTCTAACAAAATCAATTAGAGAAATGAAAAGGAAACTTTGATTTTACTCAGAGGCAAACTCATTTCAGCGGAAACCAGGATCCTACGCAGAGATGGACGTCCAGCCGAACACTGCAGCACACACAAGGCCAAAGTTCGCAGGCGCGGGAAGAGTAAAGATGTTTCCTGAAGTTGTGTATGCGTTTCAAAGGCAAAAAAGGCATGTTTTATTGTAGTTAAAATGACCAGGAGCTTTTCCTATGCTAATAAATGAGCAAATTGCCATTGCAGTTACAGTTGTGTATATCTAGTTCTAGTCGTGATGTCTTTCTATGGAGAAAACAGTCCATTTAGGTGAGTTTTCAGTAGTCAGAGGAGCTAGTAAATTGCAGAAGTTTCGACAGAGGAACAACCCAATAAATTCCACCTCAATAGTGTTTGGGGTTGTTGTTTTTTTCTTTGAAATGTTTCATCTAAGTAAGCAAGAGGTAAAAATAAAATACACTTGTTTTAATATGTGATTGTGTTCAGCAATGATTATTTTATTGACTAGGTAGATTAAAGTTAAATAAATTACAACAACAACAACAACAAAGAGAGGGGGGGAAATGTCCTATATGTGTCAAAAAACTCACTATGTTTTGTTGGCTCTCAAGTGTACCATAGCAAAATATTGATGTTATTTAATAAGGTATTATATTAGCTTTTTTTTGCCCTAAGCTATACTTGGTTTCCTCAATTTACATATTACCCAGGGATGAGGTCCCTTAATAGAAGGCTGGCATTCTGGGAAAGGCTGGCCATTCGCCTGGGGCCCTTGAGTCCCGGAGAACAGTTCACACGGTTGGGATTTCCCGCTGGGTGAGAGCAAAGGGGGCCTGCTTCAGGCAACTCTGACTCCTGCGGTCCCTCTGCCCCTTCCTCGCACTGAGTCTCTGCCCCTCCTTCAGTTGGTCTGGGCCTTCCCTCCCCTCCTCCTCTCTATCGACTGGGAAAATTAAGCTCATTTAATCCTTTTTATTTATGATTGACTGACTGATTGAATTTTAATTAAAACCCATTCACACTGAAATGTTATCTCAACCAGAACCTCCAGCCTTTTAATTGTGGAATTAAAATCTTTCTCCCCATGTAGGCATCATTAAACAGAAGAATAAGTATTGGAGGAGGATCGTGAACCCGCCCGAAGCCTACCTGGCTGGACCAGAAGGTGACGTGACTCCCTCCGGGTTGGCTGACTGGAGGAGGCGGGAGAGGTTGCTCCTCCCCAGGCTGCCCCCTACTTGTCATGGAAGGACTGCTGGGGCTGCCAGCAACCTTCATACTGACCCCCCAGCATTACATTCAGTCCTCACGGGGAAGGGAGGTCACGTGGCAGAAAGTACCAGAGCCAGGATTCCTGGGAGGCATAACTCCAAGGCCACTGTCTGCCCCGTGCTGATGCCAGCTCCTTAGAGCCTCTCCTTGCTCCCCGAACACCATCGGGGTCCCTGAGTCTGATGAACCTGCCTCTGTGCCCAACCCTCTGCCTCACGATTTGCAGGTCTGGGTGTGATTGGCCAATATTTAATGGCATTCTGCACCATAATCCCTCACCCAACCCACTTACCTGATCCTCCCCTATCACTGCCTCTCCCATGAGGTCTACCTGTGGCGGGGTGTATCACTGGGACACCCATTCTGCAGCAGAGATGTTTATGTGGGTCTCCTGTACCTACTTTCGGATGAAGAGTTTGTGATTATCTGGAAGGAGCTCCCAGGCAAAGACCCAACTAACCAATGGCCCGGATGTGTCCACAGCAAGTGTTCTGGGTGCCAACCACCTGCTGTGGTCAGCGTGCAGGTGCTGGGCCAGAGCAGACAGCAAGCCAACACCTGGGTCCTCAGGGAGCATACGCTCATGGAGAGTGGGAGGGAAGTACTTTTTTAAAAATACACATACATTCAATGCTAAGGAGGAAAATAATTTAGACGAAAGGAAATGAGGCTATTCAATAACGAGACAGGATTTCTTGTGTGGTTTCAGCAGTCCAAGTACTATCATGGGTGTGACAGTAAAATTTAACCTCTAACTTGCTGGTGGAGAAAAACACGACAATCCTGGCAAGACTGACAAAATAAAATGAAAATGAAACCACCCCTCCTCAACCCTCCACAAAAGTACTTCCACCCTCTGTTAGGTAAATGCCCCTCACCCCCACCTACCTTACTCTCCTGTGGCAATATGCACAAGCGCTTTCAAAAGCAGAAATCACAAAGCAAGCTAAGACGGTCACCTGTGAACGGGGCGCTCTGAGTCCTCACGGGCCGGCGACCGGCACTGCCAGCCTCCTCTCTCACCCCAAAGGGGGATGGCGCCGTCTCTTCGGCAGGAGCTTCCACCATCAGAGAGTCAAAGTCATCCTCCTCCTCCTCCTCCTCCTCCTCCTGCAGGTCCTTCCTCCCCTCCTCCTGCTCCTGTTCCTCTTTGCTCTCTTCCTTCCCCTCTTGTTCTTCTGGGAGGAGCAAGGGGTCCGGTCCCTGGGAAGAGAAGTTCTGCCCCATCAGGCCCTGGGCGCCGGAGTCCAGTTCTTTAATGATCTGGTCGTACCGGGCCATGAAATCTTCCCCCTCCGGGTCCACCGCCGTGGGGTCTGCACCGCAGGCCTCTGCCCCGGAGTCAGGGGGTGCTGACTCTGCGCTGGATTCCGGGGCCACCCGGGGCCCCTTCTCCGGGGGTGGCTCCGCGGACACGCTGTCCCGGTGCTGCTCCTCCTGGGGGTCCGCCTCTGGCTGCGGGCCGGGCAGGGGGCCGTTGTCCGTGGGGGGACTCTGCTCCTCGGCCTGGCCCGGGGCCGGGGGCCGCGCAGGCTCCTCCTCCTGGGACTGTCCGGTGTCGTCGGCGTCCTTCTCCGCACACAGCCTGTACACCATCACGTCGTCCTGAAAGTCCGATTCCTCGATGTACGACCCCTTGAAGCGCAGGATGGCGTTCTTCTTCATCTCCTGGATGTGCTTGGGGGGATCGATGGGCGCTGGGGGGCCCGGATTCTCCAGCTCGGCCCCGGCCCCCGAGGAGATGCCGGTGTCGTAGCTGTCGTCCCACTCCAGCTCCGTGTGGCCCCGGTCCTTCCTGGGCAGCAGCTGAGGCCCCTGCTCCGCGGGGAGCTGCTGCGGGAGCCGGAGCCTGAGCGCGGGGCAGGCGGGGCTGGGGGCGCCCTCCTCCGCCAGGCTCTGGAGGAAGGTGTCGGGGTCCGGGGAGTCTCCGTCGTAGAGGGCGGACCAGACCCGGCAGTCCCGCATGCAGCGGAGGATGTTGGCGTGGGCCTCCCAGAGGTACTGCAGGTAGCTGATGTCCAGGGCCCTGCCGTACTCCACGATGCAGGCCGACGGGGAGGACGCCTCGGGGAGCGGCTGCTCTGGGGGCCCTGCCGGAGGCAGAAACAGGTCAGAGTGACACTCGGAGAAGTGAGGGGACATAGGCCTTGGGGGTGTGGGGACAGAGGCCTTGGGGGTGTGGGGACAGAAGCCTTGGGGGTGTGAGGACAGAGGCCTTGGGAGTGTGGGGACAGGGGCCTTGGGGGTGTGGGGACAGGGGCCTTGGGGGTGTGGGGACAGGGGCCTTGGGGGTGTGGAGACAGGGGCCTTGGGGGTGTGGGGACAGGGGCCTTGGGGGTGTGGGGACAGGGGCCTTGGGGGTGTGGGGACAGAGGCCTTGGGGGGGTGGGGGTGGAGAGACAGTAGCCTTGAGTGGAGGGGGAGGAGAAACAAAGGCAATGGAAAGGTGTGTGACCCATCCAGCTGCTGAGATCTTCTTCCACCAGCTACTTTGGTTCTCATAGTTCCTGGTTAAATGATTTCTGAATAATTTAAAATGCTTACATTTTTAAGAAGGAAAGACAAGAGCAGAAAGTCTACCCTCATAGGAGAAACTGAACCAATGTGGCCAGTGAGATACTGGCTGTCTCCAAAAGAAAACTTACATGGCAGCAGTCCTCAGAGAAATAAGAGCGAGCCGTGGCAACCTCTCGGGTTGCCGAGAGGACTGACTTAGGCAGCATATCGGATATAGTACCTGCCACAGGGTCGGTAGTGATTTTAAAGATTTTTACTTTGATTCTAAAGTGGGAGGCCTGTAATCCATGAATTCGGGGAGCAGATTTTCTCCAGAAAACGGCGGGTTTTAGAAAAGCCTGTTGACTTGTGCTGCCTTCCTGGGAACTATTAAGGTTGCTATGTACCAAATGGGCTCTTCATGACCAAGTTCTATTCGCTACCAAAATGGTTCTTTTCACCTAAGGATGATTCAAGTGTTCCCATATTCTGCCTTTGATGTTCAAACTCTTTACTGCATAACTGGAAAATAGGAACTTCAGGGGGAAAAGGACTCAAACAAGGAAAAATATATACTCTGCAGTTCCCTTAAACATCTCCCATGTGGCAGGTGCTTTATCGGTGCGAATTTAATCCTCACAACAACCTATGTGGTAGACAGTATTTTCTGCAATTATAGATTAAGAAATTGAAGCTGAGCCCTCGCTGGTTTGGCTCAGTGGACAGAGCATCCGCCTGTGGACTGAAGGGTCCTGGGTACGATTCCAATCACATGTCTGGGTTGTGGGCTCAATTCCCAGTAGGAAAGTAGGAGGGGCATGTAAGAGGCAGCTGATCAATGATTCTCTCTCATCATTGATGTTTCTATCTCTCTCCTTCCCTTCCTCTCCGAAATAAATAACATAAAAATATACTTTAAAAATAAAGAGATCTTTTTAAAAAAAATAAAATAAAATAAATTGAGGCTGAGACATAAGACCACCCAACTAACTGGTCCATGGCAGAGCCACCGCTCAAGCACAGGGTGTCTCTGATGCCACACCTTTGCAAGCTTCTTATCTCATTATCTAAATCTTCTCCAGACCAGGTCAGAATGAGACCTTTAGGAATATATATTTTCAGGCCATCAAGGTGGACATAATTCTTTTTTTTTTTTATGGTTCTACTACTAAAAGGTTAGTGTTGACCTCCTATCCACTGTAAATAAAAATACATTTAAAAACAATACTAACAATATTTATTTAGCACTTACTACATGCCACGTCGACTTCTAAAGTTTTACATGTCCAAGGGCACTTACCCTTGGAACAACTCTTTCAGGCAGGCACTACTTTACATACGAGGAAAACGGTTTAAAAGGTTAAGCAATTTGCCCAAGAAAGTAGCAGAGCCCAAGATTCAGAATCCTAGCTCTTAGCCACCGCACAATAACTATATCATCTATCTCCCCTCCCACCTACCCACTTCTCTATCTATGTAGCCACCCATCCATTAGAGCGTTTGTCTGCTGTAAGGAACCCCAGAGGCAGTGCAGTGGAAAAAACAGAGGACCTACCGCTAGATAACCTTGAACAAGCCAATCCCCCTCTCTGAATTTGTTTCTTCATCTCTAACCTGGCATCCTACCTTCTCCGAAGAATTAAATATGGTAACACAGGGAAAGAAAGTGGCAGGCACTCCACAATTGTCCATTTAACTTAAATTTTGAATTCTGTGGCAAGATCAGCCACAGAGTCATCCTTGAAGTAACATTTTTAGTAAAGAAAGACATCAAGTTTCAAATAAAAGTTTTTAAAAAATAAGTACTTGGCAGGAAAATAGAAGAAATCCACATTAGTTTAACCAACAGGAAAATATACCTAAAATCCATCTTGTTATACTACCACAAAAATTACTAATTTTCATGCATACACTGTATATGTAAAGAGCAAAAATCAGTAAGACAACCTTAATTTCTAAAAAAAATTACATTTATACCAAATAGGCTGATATCTTCTGAATCAAGCAGACTGGGGCCTAACAGAAGTATACCTGGATGAACAGAATACAGATCGGATCACCAGAATGAACACCAGGACTGAGCCACATGCTAGTGGTGGTAGGACAGGCAGAACCCTCCTGGACTAAAACAGCCCTCTGACCACTAAAAATACACAGCGCCCCCTTGTTCCTGCTGCCTGCAGGGAGCCAGGCTGATAGAGGTGACTATTTCCATTTTACTGGTACAAGATAAGGTACAGCTGGCAAACAGCACATCATTCCTGTAGGTCAATCAAATGACTCAGATACTGTTTATATATATCACAAATTTTGAGTTTTATGAGACATATCAAAAATTTCAAGTTTTATGGTGATACGTTACTGACAGGCAAGCATCCAAAATGGGCCATTTCAGAAACCAAAATAAGACCTAATTCTATCTTAGCTCTTCTATCTCCACATCGCTTGCCCTTATTTTGTTTTAGAATACAGAATGGTATGCATCTTCCTCCACATTTGGATTCTGAGGGCGACACTAGAAATCCTAGTTAAAATAGAAGTCTGGGCGCATGGAATCGGTGACAGCTGGGCATGAAAATAAACACTAATTATAAAGTGTCACAACTCCTTACAGTGCAGAAAAGAACCCCCAACGAAACATTCATAAAAGACATGGAGCCCACTGTCTTATTCTTCATCTTCTCCGGCATCCTTTTGTTTAAAGATCATCGCCAGCAAGTTCCTACCTGAACTATCGTGCGTACACTTTGACCAGAGGATATAATCCCTCTCTTGGTTCCCAAGCGTCAGGGTGATCCCGCTGGAGCAGCAGACTGGGGTCAGGGCGAGCAGCTTGGCCGCAGACACCGAGTAGCAGTCTCTCTCCTTCACGGCCCACCTCTGACTCAGCATCATGTGGTTGCAAGGGATCAGGTACCTGGAATGACAAAGAGGGTGGCATTCAGTCTCTGCAATGCCCGTTCCCAGCCAGTGCCTCCTAAGCCGTAATCAGGACTAATGACCTATCCTCTCCCCATTCTCAATCCATCTATCCCACAAGTCCCCAGGGTTCACTCTCCTGCTTAAAATTTGTCAAGGGCTTCTTTCTTCTGACAGAACAACCCCCGGTGCAGAGCATTTGAGGGCCTTCACAATTTAAGTTGCACAAACTTCCTCATTAATGGAGCTGCTATCCTATCCCTCTTTGCCTCTGTGCCTCTGCACCCACTGTGACCTTCACCAAAAGGTGCTCTCCCTGCCTGACAAATGCCTTGTCATCCTACAGAGTCCAGCATCAGTGTCACCTTTTCCAGGAAGGCTTCCAGGCTACCTACTCTGAGACAGAGCTTCTCCCTCCACCATGCTCACAGACTGCTAAAGAAGTAGCATTTAGTAAGTTATCTTGGTGTTTGCCTCCTCAATACAATGTGCTCTCACAGCAAAGGACCTCTTTCAATAATTCTGAAATATAATCCCAGGAACTCTGCCTCCTAGTGGGTACTGGAGGACAGTGGAATTGCGGCATAGTACAGGTCTTCTCCCATATTCTCCTGAGTGACTATGAGAAAATACGGTGGCCAAAGACTCCCTGAGGGCCCCATTTCACACAAAACATGTTTGGTTGGTGATCAAAAGCATAATAGTATCATTATGACTGTGGAGACAAGAAAATCTGAGCAATTGTTTCTGACACCCTTAGAGAAACATTGTGGGGAAGAAGAAAGTGTGTTCAAACCAAGCATATTTCATTATTTAAGTTGATATATATGGATTTCTACTCTTTGTTTGAAATATTTTTTAAAAATGGTACAGTGGATCAAACCTAATAAAGCTACTTATCAAATTTTACCAGTGTGTAGCTTGGAATCATATTAGAATAAAGAGGTATTGGGAATTTATAGCTTTGCAAACACATGCTTTCAGTAGAAACTAAGAATTTTCTTCTGAGTAAATTAAATAAATGAAGGTCCCCTGTGGGTTGAAGGAGAGAGTCTACACTACAAAGTCAGGGAACTCATAGTTAATGCAGTACTTCTACTGTGTATTTATAATGAAGGCTTATTCCAGAGGAAAGGGCAGGAAAACTGTACACTGACCCTTTGCCTTTCCATCATTTACAGAGAAAGATTTTTTAAAAACACACACACACAAAAAAAACAAACAAACAGACAAACAAAATTAATGTTCACTTTAGCATTATTTGCAATGACCAAGTTAGGGAAGCAACGTAGGTATCCATTGATAAACCCTATATAATAAAGAGGTAATATGCAAATTGACCATCATTCCAACACTCAAGATGGCTGCCCCATGTGGTCAAAGATGGCTGCCCATGTGGACACAAGATGGCTGCTGTAAGATGGCCTGCAGGAGAGGGCAGTTGGGAGGGACCAGGCCTGCAGGGGAGGGCAGTTAGGGGTGACTGGGCCAGCAGGGGAGGGCAATTAGGGATGAATGGGCTGGCAGGGGAGGGCAGTTGGAGAAGATCAGGCCTGCAGGGGAGGGCAGTTTGGGGTGACCAGGCCTGCAGGGTAGGGCTGTTGGGAGGGACAAGGCCTGCAGGGGAGTACAGTTGGGAGGGACCAGGCCTGCAAGGGAGGGCAGTTAGGGGCAATCAGGCTGGCAGGGGAGGGCAGTTAGAGGTGACCAGGCTAGCAAGGCAGGAAAGTTAGGGACAACCAAGCCTGCAGGGGAGGGCAGTTGGGGATGACCTGGCTGGCAAGGGAGGGCAGTTATGGGTGACCAGGACAGCAGGGGAGGGCAGTTGGGGGCAACCAGATTGACACAGGAGGGAAGTTAAGGGCAATCAGGCTACAGGGGAGCAGTTAGGTGTTGATCAGGCTGGAATGTTGAATCACTATGTTGTACACCTGAAACTAATATAATATTTTATGCCAACTATACTTTAATTTAAAAAAAGAAACAGTGCAAATGTCAAATATCAAAATGAAGTGGCTGTTGGTAGCAGAAAAGTCACTGAGGAATTTAGTATAAGTATTTCTCATAAACTATCTTTTCGTTTTTACTCCACTTATTTTGTTTAGGAGTCCTATTTAAATTCAGAAAGTCATAAATATAATCACAAAATAATAAATATCTGATTTTAGGAGTCCAGATTACTCAAAGTCATCCCACAACACAGTGGGAAAATATATATATTGTTCATACTGTCCTCTCTCTTTTTATTTTTTCCCCAACTCTCTGAACCCCTTGTCTATTTTCTCTTTTCCTGGGTATCACTCATTAAAACAAGTCAGCATCACTTCTGAAACAATTCAATGCCAACCAGTCAATTATCAAAGCACATATACTGCCTATTGCTCCATTGACAATAAAAACAAACAAAACAGTAGCAGTACAATGACATAAACAAAGTGCTTCTTGTGGGAAGATGATGATGACCTGAATAACAGATCACTAGACAAACATTTAGAAAGCAACGTTAAAATTCAAAAAACTATCGTTCCATTTTCAAAGATAGTATGGCCACGTTTCTCCTATTTGTCCCACCCTAGATGGCTGGCATTCCCCCTAATCCCCTCTCCAGACACCTAACTCTTGTGCTAGATGGAAATGTTCCTCAAGTGCACACACAGCTGCTTTTTAAACAAAACAGCCTCTATCTGAACACAACAGGCAATGCAGTTCATAAAGCTGACAATGGACCAGCACCTCTGGGGGGGGGGGGGGGGGGGGGGGAAAAAAAAAAAAAAACACCCTACCCAGAACGTTCATCAGTGGCATCCGGAAGATTAAGCAGTTAAATTCTACCTAAACTGGGAAGCGCCAGAAACCTGGGAGTGATCTCTCCCTTCACTGCTCCTCAGCACTTCTGCCTGCCTTTGGCCTAACACATGCCACATCCATGGAGATGGATAATTGCTCCTCGGTTTTCTGCTCACTAAAATAGCCTCTCTTTGGGGAGTATCTTATTTCAACGTGCTTTTCTGATATTTTGCTAACTGAAAGAAGGATATCAGTTGCAATTGGATTGTCACTTTGAGATGTCAATATTTAAGAGTATTTGGGTTACAACAAAATCAATGTCTAGTTATTATTTATTTATCACTTAACAAATAACTCCATTAAAAGGATTCACTTAATCTTCACTGCTCTGTTGCCTCCCAGATCTACAAATTCATCCTGTATACTTGAGTGACAGCAAAGACAACAACAAAAGGATGGATTACAAACCTATTTTTTATGTTTCTTAAAATAAAGTTTAAATGAATAACAGAATAAGGGCTTTTCATTATTCTTGCTTTTGGTATAGATTCTAAATCAGAAGAGACATTGTTTTCATTAGTATAAAATGCATTTTTTAGAAAATTCCACTTCCTTAAACTTGTACAATACCTTATAGCATTTCAACATATTTCTACAGATATCACCACAGTTGATCCTTCCAAAAACCTTATGAGGCAACAAATTCCAAAACCAGAACAGGTCTAGTCAAATCAGCAGTTCACTCTCACTCTGGGGCCCCAGCTGGATTCTTGCCTGCACTGTTCATAGCCTTGTTTTCATATTTTTATCTCTTTTTATCTCTTTCTGCTGCAAATTCAATACCTTCCTCAATCATTAAGTCTCTCTTTAGTCTGTATCTTAAGTGCTATTTATCCCAAACACTCAGCTTTCTTTATTTTAATAATTACAGTTTTTGTTTCTAAGAGTTCTAGGTGGTTCTTTCTCAAATCTGCTTGTCATTTTTGTTTGATTAAAACTATTTTCTTAAAATAACATATGTTGGTGAGGATATGGAGAAATCCATATTTTGGTAGTCATATAAAATGGTACAGCTGTTATGGAAAACAATTTTTAAAAAAAGTTAAAGTAGAATTAACATATGATCTAGCAATTCCACTTCTAGGCATATACCTAAACAACTGCTAGCAGGGTCTTAAAGAGATGTTTGTACATCCATAGTAGCATTACTCACAGTAATAAAAAACTGGAAACAAATCCACAGTGCCCATCAACAGATGGATTAATTAAAAATATTGTATAAACCATAGGACTGTATTCAGCCTTAAAAAGGAGAAAAATTGGACATGGTACAACATGGATGAACCTTAAAGACATAAGTCAGGTACAACAAGGCAAACACTATTGATTACACTTATATGAGGTACCTAGAGCAGTCAAATTCATAGAGTCAGAAAGTAGAACAGTGGTTGCCAGGGGCTACAGAGAGGGAGAAATGGTGAGTTAGTTTAATAATTACAGTGTTACTTTTGCAAGGTGAAAACAGTTCTGAGGTGGATGGTGGTGATAGTTGCACAATGATGTGAATGTACTTAGTACCATCGAACAGTATACCTACAAGTAGTTAAGTGGGGAATTGTTAGGTGCATTTCCCACAATTATAAATAATTTTAAATGTAGGGGGAAATCAGTAGTTCAGAGGGCAGAGAGGGCAGAGACCAGGAAGTAGAGGACTCCCAGGTGTCTCCTACATGCCTGACTTCTGGGTAAGTCCTCTATTTGCTCTTCTCATGGATTCCCCCAGGCCGTGCAGCAGAATTAGAAATAAAGCATTCAATAAAAGGCAACCTTCATCATCATCATCATCATCATCATCATTGTCATCATCAAAGAAACAAAGGATGGCTTTGTTGGGAATTTTTCCATTATTCTATTCATGCACTCTCCTAATAATTCCTTACCCAGGAAATAACTAGCCCTGATGTGAGCATGTACATATTTCAACCATGAGCTAATTAATACTTCACAGTCATAAGGTACAGATCTGCATTTCAACAACAAGCCTTAAATAATACCATCTCTAGGGACAGCTTTTTTTTTTTTTTTTCTTTTTTATTTATTTATTTATTTATTTATTTATTTATTTTAATAAGTTTTTATTGTTCATATTATTACAAATGTTCCTTTCCCCCCACCCACCATTGCTCTCCTCCACCAGGTTCCCATCCCACCCTCTGCCCTTTCCCCTCTCCCCATTGTCCTCATCCATAGGTGCACAGTTTATGTTCAGTCTCTTCCCACGCCCCCCTCTCCCCTTTACCCCAAGAATCGTCAGTTCACTCCCCTTCCATACCTCTGATTCTATTATATTCAACAGTTAATATTGTTCATCAGATTTTTTTAATTTCCTTGGTTTTTAGATTCACTTGTTGATAGTTATGTATTTGTTGTTCATAATTTTTATCTTTGTTTACTTTCTCTTCTGAAAGAACCCCCTTCAGCAATTCATATAATTCTGGTTTGGTGGTGATGAACTCCTTTAGCTTTTTTTTATTAGTGAAGCTCTTTATCTGGCCTTCGATTCTGAGTGATAGCTTTGCTGGGTAGATTATTTTTGGCTGTAGGTTCTTGCTATTCATCACCTTGAATATTTCTTGCCATTCCCTTCTGGCCTGCATGGTTTCTGTTGGAAAGTCAGCTGACAATCGTATAGGTGCTCCTTTGTAGGTTACTACCTTCTTTGCTCTTGCTTCTTTTAATATTCTCTCTTTGTCTTTTGCTCTTGGAATTTTAATAATGATGTGTCTCGGTGTGGTCCTCTTTGGATTCCTTTTGTTTGGAGTTCTGTGCGCTTCCTGGACTTGTAAGTCTAATTCTTTCACCAGGTAGGGGAAGTTTTCTGTCACTATTTCTTTCAGTATGTTTTCCATATCTTGCTCTCTCTCATCTTCTGGGACCCCCATAATTCTGATGTTGGTTCGCTTGAAGTTGTCCCAGAGGTTTCTTACATTATCTTCAATTTTCTGGATTCTCTTGCCTTCTAGCTTCTGTGGAGGAGTGTCTTCTGGCTCTTTATGTTCCAAATCTTTGACTTGATTCTTGCGATCTTCCCTTCTGTTTTTAGGACTCAGTAAAATATTTTTTATTTCAGACAATGTATTATTTCTTGTTGATCCCTTATCATTTCTTGTTGACTCCTTATTAATTCTAGTTGATCTCTTTTCATATCCTCGTAGCCCTTATCCATCTTTTCTAAGAAATTCTTGAAAAAACTTATAAGCGTAGATTTGAACTCTATATCCAGACGCTTTTTGTCCTCCATTTCTTTCGTTTGTGATCTATTTTGTTGTCGCATTTCGCAGTTACAGATGGGACGGGGTTTCAGGGTGGAGCCTGCAGCTTTGGCTTCTGTCAGCCCCGCCCTATGCGGGTCCTTCAGTGCTCGCTGCTGCCAGCGCCTCTGAGAGAAAGGTGCCCTCGATTTTCGCCTGCTGCCAAACAGTCTATGCTCTCCCACAATGAGCCCGGTATTGGGGTTCAGTTCAGTTGGAAGTGGAGTTGGAGGTGGCGTTCAGAGCAGTCTGGAGCCCCAGTCTCCTTCCCGTCAGGGCAATCCCCCGGCACAGCCGACCGTCCCTTCTCTGTGCTCAGTGTGCGCGCCTCCGGGACCTCCTTCCGCCTCTCCCCGGGGTTCCGCCTTACAGCCCGGCTCCCTATGGCTGAGCCTGGGTCCCCGGGGTCTGGCCTAGAACTGGGGATCAGAGCAGTCGGGGGCCCAGCACAGTCGGAGTTTTATCTCCTTTCCGCTAGGGAACGCCCGCCAGGCACTCGGCCTCCCTCCTCTCCGGCTCCGTCCTCTCCGCGCGCCACGTCTCCGTACCTTGGGCTTTTCCAGCTCCTCCGCGCCTCCTTCTGGTTTTCTCCTTGCTTCTCGCTGTAGAATTTCCAGTCAGTCAACCTTCCTGTAGTTCTGGGCAATGTCCGTTTTATATTTTAGTTGTATTTTATTGAAATTGTTGTGTGCGGCTGCGGCTAGGTGTTCACCTGGGCGCAGCCATCTTGGATCCTCTCTAGGGACAGCTTTTAGCAAACACCACTTGGTAAGCAGACAAAAGGTGAGAAGAGGCCACCTTGTAAAAGCAGACAGCCAGCTTCCACTGCCTGGCTCAGCCAGCCAGGTGGCCCAGTATGGGGAAGCTCCGCCCCTCCAGGGCAGGGCCAGGCATCCAGGTACACTAAAAGAGACACCTGCTTTCCATGCCTCAGTGAAGCAGTATTGGAGAGTTTAACATTTAGATATAATCAGGCTTTACCCATGTTGGAAGCAAAGTCTGGTTTGGGGGAATAGAAAAGGCTTTAACAAGCTGCTCTGACGGATTTCAGCCAGAGTTGCTAATGCATTCTGTCATATCAGTAGAGATTTGATGGGCAGCTAAGAAATCCTTCTGGAACAGATAACTAATGCCCTACTGGGATGACCCCGGGCATTCACTCCTGATAGGATTTGTTCTTTGCTAATGCCTCAAGAGTGGTTGTTGATGACCTGATCTAAACCACTAAAAAGTCCAAAACTCTTTTAAAACATAGAAAATGAATGGGTGATATTCTCCCATAACGGGATAACTCTGAAAGCCTCCACCACGATGCCACCACCAACCTTCCTGCCTGTTTTTTATCATTCGCTTTTGCAGATGCTATAGCTACACGGCACCGCTCCTTCAGCCAGTGGCTAGCCAGCCATCAGAATACCCTGGAGAGTTTGTAAAACATGCCCACTCCCAATTGGCGGAGCCAGCCCCTCTGGGAGAAAGCCAAGAATGTGTGTTTCTAACTAGCTCTGGAGCAATGCCATGCTGCTGTCCCCATGATGACACTCTCATTCCCTTCCTTTTCCAAAGAACCACCTCCTTGGAAATGCTGGTACATGCACTTGGAATGCCATCTCCCATTGTGCCTACATTGTATCAAAGACCACAAGGGGGCCAGGGGCAGACCAGGTCTCCTCCTCCCCTCTGCTCTGGCTTCTTCCACCCTATTCCCAGAGAGGGATCACAGGAAGGGTGGGGAAACCCTGTAAGGAGGGGTGAGGTGGAGGACATACCCATGACCTGGTGGCTTTTCGGCAGCACCAGAGGGGAGTATGGAGCGCAGACCCCAGCAAACCTCCCTTTCTTCCTTTACAGAAGCAGCTGCTGCCCTTGGGGACCCCAGAAGGAGAGGCAGACCTGGGCCAAGACAGGATTCCTGAGTGCCCTTGCCAAATGACCAAATTAATGTTGTCTTAATAGCAGTCCCCTCTGACTCCCAACACCTGGCATCAAATAGCAGCCCCTAATGAACCCTTCCCACTGGTGCCCCTGAAGGACACACCTTTTTACCTTGTACATAAGTAAGTCCTTACAACTCATCTGCTCCACACCTTACTCCCTTCTGAACTGTACACAGAAAGTATTCATTAAATATTTACTGAATTTAATTGGAACATACATACAGATTAGAGTGCACATTGTATTTGTACTATTGCCAAGCAATAGTCACAGGAACTATAGAGCAACAGCATTTCATATTTAGAAAAGTTTGGTTTTTTTCCCCCCCAAAATAACACAGGTCCTCTTGTTTATGAAAAAGACATTCAGCCACACCTCAGAAAAGCTTTTATAATAATTCTGAAAACTTCCAAACATCCTACCTTCCCTTTGCAGGAGCATATTTGTAACATGATGTATTTGGCCCCCTGAAAACTTGTTAACAATAAAATTAAAATTAACCTTGGGAAACAATGCAGAAATTAAATTGATTGGTCTTGATGATTTCCTTTCTTCGATGCACAGACCCTATTTAGCTTATGTTTCCGAAGAAATATGTAACAGCAAGAGTATAGAGTGAGTTTTTCTTTAAAGGGAACAAAAGATGGCCACTCACCTCAAAACGAGCTGTAGCATCACGTCCTCACAGTGTAAACCGATGAGAGTCCTAAATAATGCCAGGGACACCACACAGAGCTGGGGAACAATAAACACGTTCTATTTCAGATATTGGAAGGACAGCTCCACTCTCCACAGATGGCAAATAAATCAGAATTACAAAATAAAATGGCCTCTTTTATTCAGCAGTTTGGATGAAACATGCTGCTGCCACAGAGAATGTGCATTACGGGCATTCAGGCGGTCGGTTCTGTGGGGTTCTGTTAGAAAGACTATGCCTGGAATTACACCATTATGCAGAACTGCCCCCTACAAAATGCTCCCCTCACAGTGCCACCTGTTTAGGACCCACATAAAGATGCTGCTTGTCACCTGTTATTTCAGATGTGACGTTCATTAGCTACAAGGCCCGGCTAACGGGACACTGCATGTGCTCTGGCCAGACTCCCCTCTCGAGTTCTCAGCCCTCAGACACAGCTCCTCGTGGCTTTAGGCAAACCTTCTCCTCGGTTCCATTTTCAGTTGTGTTGAGGGTGTGATAATACACTTTTCTAAGAAGTTCATTTAAACACACACACACACACACACACACAAGAAATAAAACTTCTCTCCCTCTATGATTTCCATAAAGGAAAGCTACACAACCAAACTGAAAAGAAACACGTCAGACCTTTTGGGAATAAGTGCTTATCATTCTATCGGACCAGGTCAGTAATTGTAATTCAGGCTCTCCTTCTTTGTACAGAATGCATGCATTGGAGAGTTATAGGGGCAGGTTTATCTGGAGCTTTACAGATTAGAAATAGGAGCAAACAGGTATTTTGTAGGAGGATAATGCTGCATCATGGCCTAATTCCAGGTTTAGGCTTTCTATTATAATTGAATACTACAGGAGAACAGACAGTCTGAATATACATTCTCTGTTTACTCTTACAACTCAGTGATAAAAAGATAAGAACAGGGGGATAAGGACACATATGTAATACTTTAATCAATAAAGAAATTAAAAAAAAGACAAGTACACAGTGCTGTGCATCCTAGACATTGATTTAAAGGGTTACTATGGTAATACTGTATACAATCTAGTACTGTTAATTATAACCATCATGCTATACATTAGATCCTGAGAACTTATTCATCTTATAGCTGGAAATTTATATACTTTGATCAACACTGCAGTTTGATAAACTATAGTAGCTATTTAAGCTTTTATCTTTAGAGTAAGTGTATTGTCCCATAAACTTAACTTGTTCTTTCTAAAGTTTATTCTTTTTGTATTATCAATTATTTGGTTCAGGTCAGGTTTAGAAATTTAACTTTCAATCTATTGTTATCATTGAATCTAATGTGTATCTCTTGTAGATGGCATGTGGTTGGCTCTTCTTTTCTTGTCCAGTATGACAATCTCTGCCTTTTGATTAAGTTTTTAACCTATTCACATTTAATTGTATTGTTATAATTGGATTTCTGTCTGCCATTTTACTTTTTGTTTTCTATATGTCTTATGATTTTTTTATTCTCCTATTCATCTTTTACTGTCTTGTTTTGCATTAAGTGAATATTTTCCTTAGTTTAACATTTTTATTCCTTTAATAATTTATATCACATGTGTCAAACACAAGGCCCGCGGGCCAAATCCATCCCGCCAGGCCTTGCAATGTGGCCCGCACCGCGCTGTCATCACTGCACTCCGCTGCGTTTCCATCACAATGACAGTTTATGACTATTCAGTAAACCATTCAGCCCGCGATTTAGGCTGGATTTTAGATTTTGGCCCCTTCTCTGATTGAGTTCGACACCCCTAATTTATATATATACATATGTCTTCACCCAAGGACATGTTCATTGATTTTTAGAGAGAGTGGAAGAGAAAAAGAGAGAGAGACAGAGAGACACATTGATAACTTGCCTCTTGTATTCACTCTGACTGGGATTGAATAGGCAACTGAGATATGTGCCCTGACTGTAATCAAACCTGCACCCTTTTGGCATATGAGAAAAATGCTCCAGCTAGCCGAGCCATACCAGCCAGGGTTCACTATATTTTTAAAGTTATTTTATTAGTGGTTGCTCTCGGTCTTAACATATACATCTTAACTTATCAGACTTTACTTCAGATTTATACTAAATTAGCTCCTGTGGAATAGAGAAATATTACTCTTATATAATTCTATCCCTTCCCCTTTTGTGCTATTATTATTATACACATTATATATGTATGTATACGTTGCAAACTCAATAATCCATTGAGCTATTATTCTCTTACTTTTAAAACAATAAATGTCATTAAATAGAGATAGCCTTTGGTGGAGGAGTGGGGTTGCAAAGGGCAATAGTAATAGTATAAGAGGATTTTCCAAGTTGATCAGAACTTCAAACTGAAGAACGACTTCCTAAATTCACAACTGCCCAGACTTCCATTTTAAAATACTTGAGGACAGAAATATAATCTCTAACATCCAGACTTGCTACATGCTGGCTCTTTGGCTTTGTCTGTACTTAGACCCATATGTTCTGCTGCTTCGTGCCTCCTCCGGAGAACATTCTGCTAGTTCCATAGAAAAAAGTGCCAACCCAGACAAACTGAGAAACATGTCCTATGAAAGGCAGTAAGTGCCACCGCCCTGTCAAAAGGACTGCTAAGAGGAAAATGCATTCTCTGTTTCCAAAGTAGAAACGGTAATGGCTGCAAGAAAAAAAAAAAAATGGTGGGGGAGAGGGGAGGAAAAAAAGAATATTCATAATCTTCTTCCAAAACGAATTCTCCTGAAATCTTACCCGAAATGGGGTGTTGATTCGACTGGTGAGAGTGTCTAGGATGTGAACATTCTCGTGCCGGTGCAACAGGATGAAACGGAGGAAGATCTCAAGTAGCGCTGGCTCGGAGATGCTACGCAGAAAAAGGTCCAAGTAGGCAGTTGTGGTCATGACCTCCTCCACAGTCACCTGGGACCAACGACAGAATGAGCACAGGTGAGCATCCCCTTGACACTATGATACATGCCTAACCGCAGTGACCCCATCAAGGCAAGGACACTCCTGCCACAAGAACACACCTCAGAGCTTCATCTGAAGCCCGTAACCTATTCACACTCTACAACACCTCATGCTGCTTCCTCCCTTTAGTTCAGTAAGGGAAAAGCAAAGGCATGAAGAAGCTGTTCAACGTTCAGACAACTCTAATCATCAAATGCAGTTCACAGTCCATAAAGATTTCAGGATGTAATCTCAGAGGGGAAAAAGATAATGGAAAGTATTTACATGGTCAGTAAAAAAGTAATTAGATAGCTCAGCACAACTTGTTTCATTATTAGTCATTCAATAAGTATTTGTTGAGACCTGCTATGTATCAGGAGCTGAAAACATTAAGAAGATATTTTCGGCCAGGAAGATGGATTATACATATGACCTAACATACAAAATAATATGCTAACAAATGGCAAATGAGAGGTGAAGACACAAAGGGATGCGGATGTTCAGATATGTTTCTGGAAAGTTGCAAGTCACTGCATAATATACATAAAGTGTTACTTATAATCTGCTATAAGAGTTGACGGCTTATAAAGTAACGGCGGCTTTTTTTATAATACAAATTAGTATCTTCTACATGGTGTGATCTACCCCAGGCAGTAAAATTCCAATCTTTCAGGAAACAGAATTATTTAAAGAGTCAAGTTTTTCAAAGAGCTGAGGATGTGATGCTTCAAGCATCAAGAAATTAACATTATCATTGTGACTGGGAATATTTTAAGAGCTAGCATACATTTGTCTTCCTAAAAGCAGAATATCTCATCTCTTGCTGAACAGGGAACATCAATTGCCTTATGGTCTGTGGTGCAGAAATACGCAAACAGGGCCACATGAAAATCACTAGGAAAACTTCAAAGCTTCCGACTCCAATCCCACGCCCTAGAACTCCTGGTTATCTCCGCTGCCTGATGACACAGGAAATGGCCGGCTATATGTTCAGCGGGATTACATTTTCTCTTTTTCAGTTTTCCATCTTCTTTATTTCTCCTTTTAAAACGGGTAACTGTCACTTTATCATTCGGTCACTGGGCCATTTCTTTTATATACATTTCTCTTCCTCTTGTAATTTTCTGCTTTTAAAGCCCACAAAGCAGTTTAGACTAGACCTCCAAATCTGCTTGTATGTGTGTAGAGGGCCCTTGTGCGGACACATCTGTGCATTATGACTTCAATTACTTCCACGAATTTCTTGGATCCTAGGTATATTCTAGGTCAATGAGTCCAGGTGGGTAAGAGATTGCCAAATCAGTTGTGCCTGTTTTCTTTTTGCTGAGCAAGGCATGCCTGCACACTGCATGTCAACCTGCTCTCTCAGAACCCATTGACAGCTCACCAGCGGTGCCCTGGGTGGTCTGAGAATGGTCTCAGGGACCAGAAACCCTTCCCCCACCAGCTCAGCACCAATGTTGTGAGAGCCACTGTATCATCAGAGCCACTTCAAAGGGCTCTCTGTGGCCCAAATATAGCAAAGGAAATGTAAGCATCAATCACTTAGCGAATAAATTACCTTGAGAAGAGTGCTTCTTGTGGGCTTCTGAAACAAGCTGTTTCTATCTTGTGTCTCCCAGTATTCTGCAGTTACTGGCTCCTGGCACTTAGTCCTGTCCTGGGACACAGGCTGTCTTTTTCCTTATTACTCCAATGCGATGTACTGGGTTAGCACCTACGCAGCACTTAATAAACATCTCCTACACAAATGACATCCCCCAAGGACCCAATGAATCACATTGACCAGAGCTGAGCTTCATTTTTAATTCTTCTCTGCATGTGTCCTGAAGGCCCCAGGGGGCATTTGTAATGAAGACATAAAATAACAGATGTCACCAAGTAGCTGGGGGGGAGGGGCCGGGGGGGCAGGGAAATGACCCACAACACCTAACAGGTAGTTTCATGAGCTCATACCCTTTCCACTAAGGCAAGCTCAGCGTCCTTCTGTAGAAATTGAATCCCAAATCATTTCAGCGATTGTCCAACTCCCTAACATTTTGACCACTAGACAAAAAGTAGCACTGATCACTCCAAGTGGGCGTGTAGTTTCATCTTCCTTACCGAGCACTGCTGAGCAGACCTTCATGCGGAACTCTGGGAGCGGCCTTGGCACCAACAATGCGGCACCAGCGTGCCCCCGACCCCTCAGTTACACAGGACCTTAATAAGCTCAAAAGCACAGCAATCGGCCCTCCAGAATATAAGTCTCAGCCTTGAGGGCTGCCATGGGAGGAGGGCACTAAGCATCTATTGTTTACCATCTTCAGCTGGATACCAGTAAATGATTTTTTTTTAATAAATCAAAGCTGTCATTTATAAGTTAAGAGGATTTAAGAAAGCACTTGGAAGGACAGCACTTACATAACGTGGTGTAAATATTAAGGACCCAATTCTACTGAGCATCAAATTGCACTCTCATTATAAATCGAGGTCACACTCACCTTAAACTCATACCCAAACCAGGAAAATCTGGAGCCCTTAGGAGCCTTTTATCCCAGAGAATCTTCTCCTGGCCCATTATCATACTTTCCAGAATCTTCCCCTAATCCACCAAATAGGCCACCTCCTTCACAAGGATGAGACCAGAGCCTAAGTGTAATCACTTGAAAGGTAACAATAAACCAGAAGAAAGCAGCCCTGCTGTGCAGGATTTAAATGGAAGCTTCCGCTAATGCCCCAAAGAGGAAGCATTAGCCAAACAGGAAGCAGCCTCCCCCTCATGGTCCAATTACAAAAGATAAGCAGCTGTTGATAGTAAGACCTTCTGACTGTCAATATCAATTTATAAAGAATTGCAGGTAGCTACAAATCTACATAGAAATTCTAGAAGAAATAATAAATGAGGTTCTATTTTACCACTGTAGAGCTTAAAAATGTTATTTCTTACTAAAGGTAGAACAGAATGACTATAATTACCTAAGGAGACCTCATTCCTACAAACAAATAATTATTCTTGACAAGGTAAGTACAACTGTAAACCAAAATAGTATATCTGCTTAGGTATTTTTTTTTTTTCTGGTTGGGGTCAAATTGGTATATAACATTCTATTAGTTTGAGGTGTACAACATAATAATTTGATCTTTATATATATTATAGTTATTGACACAATAAGTCTAGTTACCATTCATCACCACACAATTGAACCCCTTCACTTATGTCAACCACTCCCTAATTCCCTTATCCTCTCACACTCACTAATCTGCTCTCTGTATCTATGAATTTTGTTGTTTTGTTTATACATGTTTTGGTTTTTAGAGTTTATATATAAGTGAAATCATATGGTATTTGTCTGACTTATTTCACTTAGCATAATATCCTCAAGTTCTATCCACCTTGTTGCAAATGGTAAGATTTTCTTCTTTTTATATATATTAGTGGCCTGGTGCACAAAATTCATGCAGGGGGGTGGGAGGTGTCCCTCAGCCCAGCCTGCATCCTCTCCAATCTGGGAACCCCTCAGGGGATATCCAACTGCTGGTTTATGCCTGTCTCTGTAGGACATCCTTCTCACAATCTAGGACTGCTGGCTCCTAACGGTTCATCTGCCTGCCTGATTGCCCCTAACCACTCTCGCTGCCACCCTGCTTGTCCCCAACTGCCCCACACACACTTGCTGGCATGCTCACCCTCAACTGGCTCCCCCTACCATCCTGATTACCTCTAATAGTTTCTGCCTCAGCCCTTCCACCATGGCTTTGTCCAGAAGAATGTCCAGGAAGGTCTCCTGGAAGGTCTCTCAGTCTAATTAGCATATTACCTTTTCATTATTATAGATACATCTTCTTTTTCCATTCACCTATCTATGGACACTTACCGTAGGTTATTGTAAGTAATGTCCATACTACCCAAAGCAATCTACAGACTCAATGTAAACCCTATCAATATTTCAATGGTATTCTTCATAGAACTAGAACAAATAACTCTAATATTTGTATAGAACCACAAACACCCTGAATAGCCAAAGCAATCTTCTGAGAAAGAAGAACAAAGTGGAAGGTATCACATTCCATGATGTTAAACTATACTACAAAGCTATAGTAATCAAAAGTATAGTACTGGCATAAAAACAGACACATTGATCAATGGAACAGAATAGAGAACCCATAAATAAATACATACATATATAGTTAATTAATTTATGACAAGGAGCCAAGAATGTAGAAAATTGGAGAAAGGACAGTCTCTTTGATAAACAGTGGTGAGAAAACTAGACAGATATATGCAACAGAATGAAATCAAACCACTCTCTTATATCATACACAAAAATTAACTTAAAAATGTATTAAAGACTTGAGTGTCAGACTTGACACCATAAAATCCCCAGAAGAAAACACAAGCAATAGGCTCCTTGCCATAGGTTTGGTAATTTTTTTTTTTTTATCTGACTCTAAATCAAAGGTAACAAAAGCAAAAATAAACAAATGAGACTACATCAAACTAAAACCTTCTGCAAAGCAAAGGAAACCATCAACAAAATAAGAAAGTAACCTACTGAATGTGTATGCAAATCATATATATATCTGATAAGGGGTTAATGTTAAAATATATAAAGAACTCAACTCACAGCAAAAACAAACCAACAAATGAAATCCGATTAAAAAATGGGCAAAGGATCTAAATAAGACATTTTTCCAAAGAAGACATGCAGATGGCCAACAGGCACATCAAAAGATGTTCAACATTACTAATTATCGGGGAAATGCAAAAAAACACACAAAACAATGAAATTACCTACCACATATTAGATTGACTATTATCAAATAGATAAGAAACAGTTTTGAAGAGGCTGTGGAGAAAAGGGAAACGCATGCACTGTTGGTGGGAATGTAAGTTGGTACAACCACTATGGAAAACAGTATGAAGGTTCCTCAAAAAATCAAAAATAGAACTACTATACAACCCAGAAATTCAGAAATTTCTACTTATC